TTCTTCAGACGGAATGCTCCACTCCTTCAGCCGCCTTGGTCCGTGAGGGACATGAGCGTTCAGAACGGTCCATGTGTTTCAGGCATGGAACTGGACGTGACGCACCGAATGTCTGACCGAGCAAGATGTTCGAATCTTGTGCCCAGTCACGACTTAGGGCTTTTACTACGTTAGGACTTACAGGTAGTTAGTTCGTGGATCTAGTTCCACTCCCTGCCACCTGGACACGAAAGACACGCGACATGATGGGATGAGGGACAACATGGGCAAGCGTTGCGGCTAGAGTGGTCAGATATAAGGTATGGTGGATGGGGAGGCGTGGAAAAGGGTGGAGATTGAAGGGGAATACTCATCTCTGTAGTGACCGCCACGGTCGCGAACTCGCAAACTCGATGAGCTTGAAGGGGGTCGGAAGGGTCGTCACCTCGATTTGAGAAGGTTTTCGTATGCTCTGGCTCGTCTATAATCTTATACGGCGCTCTATCGATTACTCATTGGGTTACAGTTGTACGACTACACTGTAGTCTGTAGTCTGTACAGTGTATACTGTATAGTGTATAGCTATATAGTATATCATTTCATTCCCGCTCTCAGCTGAGGCTCGAGACAATTTCCTCTTTCGGAGTTCCACCGGGACGAAATCGGTCACGATGATGGTCGTGATGATTGACAATCGTAGCCCACAGCCACAGCCACATACTGTTGTCCTACTCCTGTTCAGACTGGACTCGACATCTGAGGTTCGGGTTCATCCTTTCAGAGAATGACAGGACCCATCTAGTGATCTAGTCCCTGGTACCTGGTCCCTCACGTCGGAGACTCGAGGCCTTATGAAGTGATCAATCAAAAGTACCTCCAGTCATCCACTGCAGTAGAATTTCCATCTCCAGTGCAGTAGTGCACTGGAAAAGGAACACAAAAGAAGAAAAGAGGAAAAAAACACACAAAAAGAGGGGCGGAGACTGTGGACGACAGTGGGTGGAGTGGATTCAGCCCGTGGGTCCAGAGGCAAATGAGCAGACCCAAAACTTTGACCGCCTCGCTCGAGAACCCGGCACCTTTAATTTACACCGGGCGCGCTGACTGGCTCGGAGATATTCTCGTGCGTTTTAGGGCACCTCTGTTCCCTTTCCCCCCCTGGAGTGGAGACCGGTGCGCCGCCTGAGAAATGTTTGGTCTTCGAGTTCCAGTTTCAGGTGATGACAGGATGATGGACGGGGCATTTGACTTTCTGGGCTGGCAACGTGTCTGTGTGAGAACCGAGATGGCTGGGGGACGAGGCTTTGCCGTGCACTCTTTGACAGTCTTGACTCTGCTTGACTGTACCGTACTACCTGGTACTGGTACCTACGAGTGAGGGAGATAGGCTGGGTCATTGTCATTGCCGGGATGTGACGATGTGTTGAGTGGTGTTCAAGTACCTCATACCAGGGTTGTGTAGTGTGTACACTGGACCACGACCTCAGGCCTCAGGTATCTTTTATGACTACTGCAGTGGCTGACCCCGACCCAAGGATACTGTACGTGACTACTTGACCACTTCTCATTGCAAAGAACACGCGGTCAAGTTCCTGACCTCCACTTGGAGAACCACCCCGAGAGCCACATTCCCAGGCTGAGGTTGTCCAAGAGGCAAAAAGAGGGTCGCGACCAGAACGGTTTCCTCTTTGGGGGTCATTGGATGATTGACGTTTTCGATTTTTGGTTTCTTTTTTTTTTTTTACCTTGACGAGATTCGCTTTTTAATGCGAGGTTGACTTGAACACAGTACACACGCAAATATAAGAGGAGGAATAGCGAAAAGAAAGGCAACGGTTCTTCATGAGGTATCTGCTCAGACTGCTCCCCACTAGGTTGAGTCACTGCGGTTTACTCTATAGAGGCGTAGTCCTTTCTTAAGTTTCTAGGTCCTACTTCCTAGTCCAGTTCCTCCTTCCTCCTCCTATACAAAATGATGGTCATCTCCCAAACCCGTCAGTCGTCCCTCGGGTTCCGCTCGGTGCGGCCCTACGGTCGAGTGATGTTCCACTCTAAGGAGTCGGGACAAATCAGCACGACCCAAGTCTCTCGGCGACCAACCCCAGCTGGAGGGCCTCAGGATGTGTGTTGCTTGGTCATGGTGCGCACGTTGAAGCCACGGCCCAGACCAAGAGTCATCATTTCCACTGTAATTTCCATCATCATGAAGACGGCCTGGCACACTGGGCTCATTCTAGGCCCTGTCCGCCGATGCACACCTCTGGGTTCTCGAAGATCTTCAACGGGTCAACATGAAGCCGTGCTCTGGACTCTGGACTGTAAACCCTGGACTGTAAACCCTGGACTGTAAACCCTGGACTGTAAACCTTGGACTGTAAACCTTGGACTGTAAACTCTGGACACTGGACTCTAACCTCTGGACTCTAACCTCTGGACTCTAACCTCTGGACTCTAACCTCTGGACTCTCAACTCTAAACTCTCAACTCTAAACTCTCAACTCTCAACTCTGGTCACAGCTTGATCCGAGTTGATGGTGTCCCGGGTTGGTTCCTGGATCTCTACCGGTTGTGCAGAGACGTGTTGTACGACCTCGGACCCAGTCCCGACTCACGACTCACGACTGGTCGTGGCCGTGGACGCCTGTAACGGTGGTCACTTTATCGTACACCGGCGCACACCCGGATCGAGGCAAAGCATTGATACTGGCCTCCTGAAACGGCCCGGATTAGCATCCTCGATCGTGGAGGACCCTTCTCCCGCGACTAGAAGAATCCTTTTGGGTACCAATCCTCCGTGCGAACTGCTGCCGGGATTTTAATCTGGACGAAGCTCGTCCAGGGCTTTCCGGTTGAGGCGCAAAGAGAGCAAGCCGGTATCGAGCATTGATCCTCCTGAGCGATGTGCTGGACGCCAACAGGAGTGGTAGGTCTACTATAGTAGGTAAGTTACTAGGTAGTAGGCAGGACCTTACGTAGTAAGGTAGTTAGTAGGTCAATCCCTTACTGAGTTGGTTGTTTGTACCCGACCTCTCTTGGTGTCAGGTTCGCCGGACAAAGGTCCTCGTGAACCTCGACCAGGACCACGATGCTTAAATTCGAGATTGAACTCAAGACTTTCGCACTTCCGCGCGAGCTTATTCCTTCATCGGGACCGAAGGTGGATCGGGATTGGATCATGTCAAAGAGGGTCCTGGGGTCCTGCCTCTTGGGTTGAGTCTCCATCGACTTCCATTGTGTCTCCATTCGGGTCTTAGAACTTCTCCGGCTCATCCCAGATCCTGCCGGACTGGATCAACTCGTGGTTCTGGCTGCTTTCTCCGGGTGTCTGGGTATGAGGAGGTGTTTCTTGCTTGCTTCCGCACATTCTTTCCGGTCGATGTCCGTTATAGGAGTAGTCGTAACTAGTAGTGACTAACTACTCCTCCTACTAACTAACTAGTGGGAGTCGTGATGGTGCCCACTTTGCTTGTCAACGTCGATCGTTTTGAGTTTCATCGCTGGGGGTTCTGGACCGTTCCTGGAATTGCCATTTAAATTGGAAACCCCCCAAGAAAAAGGAATTAAATCATTTTAAAATGCAAAAGAGGAGCGGCAATCCTATTCATCTTAATATCTCCCACCAAAAACCATCCGAATTAATTGTTCGCATTGATTGCCCATTCCACCGTCCCCCAGCTCGACTCATCTCCTGTCTTGATCTGGGCTGCAAGCTCTGGACTCTGGACTCTTGGACGTTCGGCTCTCGACGACCAAGCTACACTTGTCTGGTTGGAACAGCTCTGCGTCGGCTCTAGTTCATCTACCACCGTCCCTCCCACCCTTCTTCTCCTCTCCCACACCGTCGCCTCGTCGGGATTCGCTCTTCTCCTACTGCGTGGTGCGTACTGACTGGACACCCTCTCGCGTCACGTTGTCTCTCTCGTCCCTCGTGGTCTCCCACTATCGCTGCGGATTCCGCTCCTCTTCTTCTTCTTCCCTTCTTCTCTTCTTCTCTTCGTCTTTCTTCCCCTCCCTCTTCTCATTTCCGGACTTGTCCATTCTTTCTTCTGGTTTTGGGAGGGCATTCTGGTTCATTTCTGATCGTTCGCATCTCTTCTTTCATCCTTGGTGTGTTGGTTTGGTGCTCGCCCGCTCCCATCCCGCTGGCGAGTGTTGGACGACTCTTGTGTAAGACGCCGGTTGCCAACGTCTCTTCCCACGGATCGCCGTACCTGGTACCACGCTTTCTGCCAAACCCTTCGCTCGCTGGACTCCGATCATACCACTGGAGGGTAAAGGTCACCTCTCCCACTCCGCAAGGCCTTCTCGTGATCCATCTCATCTCGCATCTCGGGATTCTTTGAGATTCTGACCTTCTCCCCTTCCCCTTCCCCTTCCCCTTCCCCTTTCACCTTGGTTCCGGCTGGTCTGACGACGCTGCGGGGTGACCATCTGCAAAGGCAATCAAGACTCACCCAAACTGCGAACCCTGGACGCCAACCTCGAAAAAAGTCTCGAGAAAGGGACCGCAATACAGCATACCAACTTGACGGACTTTCGGTCATCCACACCATCTGAGCGATCAGTGACCTGCGGCCTGACCGTTTCCACCAAACCTTATAGTTTGCCCGTGGATCCTGGCTGATCCATTGTTACTGCGGGATCGTCGATTGTCGTCATTGCCAAAAACGAAAAGCCGTTTGAAGATCCACGAAGCCCGAAGTATCCCAAAAAAAAAAACCAAAAAAAAACCTAAAGAGAGGAAGATTAACCTTCTTGCCTTTGGATCATATCTATATTCCTACACCACTCATCCTCAACCCCATCCACCTATTCATCCTTCCCTCTTTTTTTTTTTTTTTCCCTCCGGACTATCCTACCCACACTGATCATTTCTTCGCGACTTGACCTTGGTGCCTGGACCCTTCTCTTTCCTTTCCTCTTCACGGCGGAACCTTCCACATCTCACGAGGAAGGTCCATGCCCTCTTCTCCCATCAAACCTTGCATCTTCCACCAACCCGCTTCTAGTCCATCGCGCATATGATTGCGTTACAGAATCGGCCCATCTTGCCGCCCGCCAAAGTGGATATCTCACTGCTCCTCAAGCCTCAAGATGAGGATGATGCCCCGAGGAATCCCACATCGATCTATTCCTCCCGAACGGGCTTTGCGGTTCCCCCTCCCGTTCCAGCCGCCCCGGTCTTGACCACCGGTCCCCCCGTCGTGGGCCCCTCGTTAATCAAAACCGGTCCCGGTCTACCTGCAAAGCGTCTGCAACCCGCCCATACCGCCGAGTCCCCCGCGAAGAAACAGTCCAAGTGGTCGCCGGAAGAAGATGCCTTGATCATTGAGCTGCGGGGCAGTGGAATGAAATGGGAGGATATCAGCAAACGACTGCCGGGTCGCAGTGCGATCAGCTGTCGTCTTCATTACCAAAACTATCTGGAACGTCGCAGTGAATGGGATGAGGATAAGAAGAATAAATTGGCTCGACTATATGAACGGTAAGCGAGGGCCATTGACGTGTGAAAAGGGTTTGCAGAAGGATTGACGATCTCCCCCGATCTCATTCGACTGGATAGAATCCCCAAGACCGACACGATCCCCAAGTCACATCTCTCCCGGGGCAATGACTGACAAGATCGAGCAGGTTCAAAGCTGAAATGTGGTCCAAAGTCGCCGAAGAGATGGCTATCCCGTGGCGTGCCGCCGAGGCCATGCACTGGCAACTAGGAGAACAAGAGATGGCCCGCCGCGCCGGCGTGGTGCCCTTCTCTCTATCGAGTGCCGCCATCGATCCTCCCATGACTCGGACTCGCCGGGCCAGCACATCCCTCGCTCGACCACGGAAGAGTTCCACCTCCCGCGCAATCCCAGGCCATCTGCCCGGCCTGCCCACACAGTTGCCCTCTCTCGAAGAACTAGCTGCAGGCGTGCCCGCATATGCGCCACCTGCCCCGCCCCCACCACGAGAATACTATACTCTCGCTCGACCACCCGACATGGGTCTTGCTCCTCATGCTCCTCCGCCTCATCCTCCATCGCATCAAATGCCTTCTGCCCCACCAGGTTTGATGCCACCGCACATGGGAATGCCGCCACGCACCCTACCTTAGTGGCCACTCGGTGCAAGGTCCAGGAAATTTTGGTTTTTGGCAGTGCTGTCTTGGTTTGCATAGCGTCTCGGGAAGAGTGAGCTGGGAGATTGAGATTTGGAACGGAGAAAGTTTCGACGATGCGCCTCGTGATGGGCAGAAATATCGATGATCTCTGTTGCTTCTGCTCGCCACAGCAGAACCGCAGAACGACTTCTTCCATTCGATGCATGATGGCCAAGATGGACTGAACAGACGAATGGGCGACCACTTTCATCTCTGGAGGCATCCGCATCAGATCAGTCCTCAACTTGAACCTTTCGAGCTCCGTCTCTTGAGTTTCTTTCCCACCAGCGCAGAATCCCTTCTCACCCCTCACATCCCCTGTCATGTCTTTACGCGAGTTTATGGCCAAGAGACAATCGTTTTCTGGCGCATATTCTCCATGAGGCTGGTCCTCATATTGAAACGAATTCCATTGCCATTGTCATTGTGCCTCGTCATCATCAGCATCTTCGTCATGCCTCATATCATGAAGTGGGGCGAGGTGTCGCAATCGCCCACCAGTTATCCTTTTCATATCCCGATTCCACCACCAACCCTCCCGCCTGTTCGATATCCCGTTCCAGCTCCCCACTTTCATAAAGATGATAGTACCGGTGGAACGTCTGGTCCTCTTCACCCGACCCTGGCTTGGCCTTGCGCACCCACGGGACCATCAAATCTTGCGAGTCCCCCTTGTCCCAGCCGCGGCGGCTATTTTTCTGCTCTAGAGCCCATGCATAGACCAGGAGTTGTCCACCCGGCGCGGTTGCAGATCCGCACTTGATGGTTCGCAAGATCTCGGCAATTGCTTGCACTCGTCGTGCCGGAGTGGACATATGGTGCACCACGGCAATGCAGACGGCAAAGTCAAAGGATGCGTCCCGATGTGGGAGATGGAGAATGTCAGCCACCACCGTTGAATGGGGGTGGTGCTGAAGAGCAATTTTGGCGAGATTCTCCGATCTGTGATGGACTTGTTAGTCAAATGCAGCAAGATGGAGCGTGTCGTGGAAGACAAGTCCGAAAGTTCATCATCTGTGGCAGTTGATAACCCGAGCGTGGAGGAAAATCACCCTCCAAGACTTGTCGCGCGCCCGAAACGAAGGGAGTGATTGATGGAAAAATCCAATCGAAAAAGAAAAAACAACAACAAACACATAACAGCAACGACCAAACAAATCCCAAAAAAGCAAACCAAAAAAATCAACAAGGCCCCAGAACAATGACAATCAAAGATACGAATTCATGAAATCCATCTCTCCATCCAGCGCTGTAGTAAGACTCTCTTCCGATATAAGGAAAGGCCGACACTCGCAGAACACAAAAGACCCTGCCCAATCTTAAAGACAAAAAGGAAAGTAAATAGAACCTCCCACCTCCAAAAAAACCCCCCATAAGAAAATCGGAAACCCAGACAAGCCAAAGAGAAAAGAGTAAAAAGAAAAGAAAAGAAAAGACGTCAACATACCGATCAGACCCAACAATAAACACATCCCGATTCACCTGTAAATTCTTCCCATTCCCACAACCAACATCCAATCCCACCGAGCCCGGCGAAAGGCCCAGCAGGAATTTCTCCACAATTGGCCATGGCTATCCAGACAGACGATCATAGAACTCGAGATCAGCACATGCTCTGCTCATGCAAATGCAGGGCCCAAGCTCTATCTTTTCTTTTGTCTTTTGTGGCGTGGACGGAGTTTACGCCGGGCTTGGACTCACTTTATATCGTGTCGCGGAGAAGTGGCCCGCGATCTGTTGATACACTTTGTGCACGTTTTGTTCTTCGTATGTTTCTGGTTCTGGGCCTGTACCTGGACCTGGACTCATGATGTTGACTGGAAATCGGATCACAAGGGGGGATGATGTTATAAGAGAGGGAAAAGCTTCAAATGAGTTTGGATAAGACGTGGAGGGTGGTTCCCAAGTGGAGTTGGTGGTTCTTGGGGAGTTTGTGTCTGAGATTGAACGGGTTAGGGTGGTGCGTGTGTGTGTGTGTGTGTGTGTGTAACCCAGATACCTATCCCGCCTTTGCAGGTCGTAGACTCAATCTGTCAATGCCTGACTTGCTTTACGGAGCCGCTTTTCTCACTTCGTTGAAGATGTTGCCGTTGGAAATGGTGTGTCACGTGATGCTTTGATGGATGGGCGGGTCTTGATTTGGGCACCGAGGGTACCTAGTGACCTACCTAGTACCTTACCTTAGTGCGCTGGTAGAGTGCATGCACATGCACCATGCCTACGCTCTACAGTAGATGATCAATTGATTCGATTGCGAGAAAGAGGAAATTGTCAAGAATGCGCCAGGGGGATCAGTCTTGTCTGAAACCAGTTGATGTATTTAGTAGCTGAGTATCTAATTGGCGAACACCAAGACGCATATGCTAATTGTGTGGCATCATTAGCACTCTTACTATAGCAGATGTACAATAGTATCACTAGTCAAACAGATCCTCAGCGAGACACGACGGTATCTGGATACTTCTCATCGGCTTTTTGGCTTATATTTCTCCCGGATTTGGTGGAACTTTTTTCTCTTTTGGATTTAGTTCTTCGCATGTTTTACGTCCGGCGAGTCTCGCATCGATTGATCTTGTCACCGATCTCGCGACAGCCACAAACATTTTTGTGCATATCTTGATTTGCGTACGGATTTCAGTCCAGCAGACGCAGATTTCCTGAGGCTCCCTTTTGCTTTGTAGACTGGCGCAGTGAGCCAAGGTCTTCATCACCAAGCTCATCAACGAGCCCGGCTGCCCGTCTTCTCAGTCAACGAGCTCGTCCTGCTCCCATCTTCCTAAAAAGCCAGCAAGCGTTTCAACCGAGCATTCGCCTCGAGGATATCTTCGTGCGCTTTCGGCGCGGAATACATATCTCGATGAGAATTCAACGCGGGCGATGATTGTGGATCCTGCCGCGGTCGACTGAACCTCCCGACGGTTGGAACTCGGAAGATATACCTCTCTACCTTAGCTGCCCCTGCCCGTGCCCGAGGGCAATTGCAAGCTGACTAAGCACTCCTTTTTGGACTGGACGCCGCGGGCTAAATTAGGCACACGATGGGAGATTTAGCGATACTCGATCTCAGCTTCATCTTCTCTACATCACTGGATCCGTGTAAGTCACAGCCCCGGTTGAAATCTTGTATGATTTGGTTGAAATGTGGTCACTGGTCGCATATGAAATCGCTTGTTATTTGAGAGCAGGCGAGAAAAATATTTGGTATTGCCATCATCGTCACTTTGAATGAGCTATTGCGAGGTTTACTTTGTACACTTGGCCATTCCTCGATGTATCTGCAATCTGCACGACTGGCTGCTTGCAATTTCAATTGCCTCGGTCGTTGCCTTTGATTCTTAGCTCTTGCGCTCGGCTTCATGTCGTTCTTTTGAAGTTTTGATTCCAAATGTGCAGATATATGGCTATCACAGACTAACCACTATACCAGAGACGGGAGATCAGTCTTGCACACGTGGAAGCTCCAAACTCGGACTTCTTCGATCAAGTCGCTCAAATTCGAAAGCCGTGAACAAGCTCACCTTTGAGACTCTACTTGCTCGCAAGTCAAACATCAGAGTGGAAATCCCAAATCTTCTCCTCCCTGAGTCACTGGTTTCATCCAAGCCGTCTTCCCTCTCCTCACGATGGCCTTCCAGTCGACCCCAACTGATGTTTCCGTGATCATCACCGCGGCGTCGGTGGCCCGTCCGGGAGCCGATTCAGAGCCGAGGTTCCTGAACGAGCGCCGCATCACACCGACGTGGACGGTCGAGCAGGTCAAGAGTAAACTCGAGACCATGACCGGTATTCCTCCCGGTAGTCAGCGCCTACGCGTCAAGGTGCTTGGTCGACCGGATGTCTGGGCTACTAGTGATGCCCAGCTGATTGGGGATTTTGGCATTGCCAAGGGCTCTGAAATTGAGGTATGTAAAGGTTGTGCATTTTATGTCCCAGTCATGGAGTCGTCATGGTATATGGCACTCCATCTCCCATATGAGACAGACGACCTGTCACCCTTGATCATGCCTGGATCCTACACAGCTTAGAATATCGGAGGATCAATTTCGACCTTCGCTGACCGCGTGATCCGTTCTAGATCCACGACTCCCGGCCGCAAACTATGCGTCCTAATTTCACTGATTTGTCTTCGGTGGAAAAGTACGAAATGAAGCCCGAAACCTACGAGACTCGCTCGGACTCGGTTCTGGCGTGGAAACGTAACCAGAAGCTTGGCCGTTTTGATCCTAATGCTCTCGCTCCAGAAGAATCTCTTCGCAAGCAAGCTGAGCAGGATCGGGCCGAGATTACAAGCAAGGGTAAGTAGCTTGTGTCAGCATGTGGTTGATGTGTTTCTTGCGCTTACCCGAATACAACGTACCCATACTTTACCTTGACTGTTTTCCCCTTCAGTATTGATTTCCCATCTTGTCTTTGGTCCAACCGTCTAACATTCATATACAGGTATTGCCGTCACAAAGAGAGCAATCATCCTCCCTTCATCCCCACCACACATCCGTCGGGGCACGATTCGCTTTGTGGGCCCCGTCCCGACCATCCCCCTCAGCGGGCCTGCACGAGAGCTCGAGAAGAGCGGCGAAACGATCCCGGCCGAGCTGCAGCCCCTGTGGGTCGGCATTGAACTGGATGAGCCGACGGGGAAGAATGACGGCAGTGTTGGTGGACAGCGTTACTTTGAGTGTCCGCAAAAGTGCGGAGCCTTTGTGAAGCCGGAGAAAGTCCAAGTTGGTGATTTCCCGCCCTTGGGACTGGATGATGAGTTGGATGATCTGATGGAGGAAATCTGAGGGGATACACCTCCTTTTTTCTTATTTTTTTTTGGCTCGGTATCTGTTTACCTCAAGACATTGAAAACAACTCGGCCATGATCGTTGACTCGTAAGAATTATTCATTTTGTACTCGAGGCAATGTCTTTCCTGGTTTAGTTCTGTACGCGAGTCCAGATTTGGCTTTTCTTCACACGGATGAGAAACTTTTCCAGTGAGGTCTGGATCGGTCTTATTCATGACACTCCTACATGTGCATTTGGCAGACTATCGACCTTGGTACCATCTGTGCTTGGCCGAGAATCACAACAAACATGGTTCCAGGCTTGATTGAATGCTCGAGAAATTTCTTTTTCTCACTGCGCATGGCCTTCCTTCTCGCCGACTTTGCAAGCTCATCGAGACTACAAAGCACAATCCAAGACAAGTCTCGAACGGCAAGCTAGAGGGAGGTTCTCTCGTGTCATGTTAAAGTCCACTTCACAGGTCAACTCTTTGCTTGATGTTTCCCCGCTCCCCGGCGGTTTCTTGGGTGAAGATCGAATCTGGGATTCGCTTGTGGCTATGAAGATACGAACATCATTTGCGAGTTTGTGCATTGAAACGCTGTCAAATATCTGGAACTAAGAGACCAGGCTGTTATCAAGCGAGATCGGCTGGCGAAATATAGGTAGCGATCTTCTTGCTATGCTACGCTGTAGTTCTGCCTGGAATACCTTACATTGCGTCAACCTTCTTTGCTTTTCTACTCATCACTCCGGGGTCTCTCAAATCCGCTGAATCAAACAACTGGCCCAGATATTCAATCAATCTCACGTCTCCATTTGTATCAGCTCCTTGCAACATTCCGATATCACTCGGCACTGGCTGCTCGTCATCGAACCAAGTCTCCGGCTGAGCTATATATGAACAGATACCACATTTTGCGTCATCGTGCTGTGAAAATCGCCATTCTGGATTCGCAGCATTGACTTGTGTGAGATTTGTTTCCTTCACGAAGTGGACGTCCGTCCTCGATATAGCTCGGGATCTTGCCATCTTCTCTGTAGTTTTACATCGACCAAGGTGTCCCGAACCCGGCAGCGACTGCTTTCCAGCTGGTGCTCTGCCAGACAGTAGCTACATCTCTCAGACACGAGGATCTCTTGGCGGCGATCAGGCCTGAATCTACCCCTCCGCTGGATCAGAGCGTATAAAGCTTACGGCGAGCGAACCGCCTAGTCATACAACATACAAACCCTTCGAGTCGCACGTACGCGACGCCGCCGCCTCACCACTTCTTCAACACCATTCGCCTTGAATGTGAATCCCCAGATGGTATGAGCTCTGGAATCAAGCGCATCTGACGAGACCTCGATTGTGGCCGTGCTGAATCTTCATATCGGTGGGTACAACCGCACTTAGTCCCGGAATCGACGAATATCTGGATTCTATGTCATTTACCAGGCCGGTAGTGATGGCGGGTTCTGAAAGTAAAGAAATGTCTTGTCTAGTATATCGCGACCTTCCAACAATCAGCCTCTCAGGTTTCGTCTCTGAGTGACGAGCGGGTTCTTCTTAGTTATGGCAGAGTTGTAGTGCTCTACAATTCCGGTGACCTTTACTCTTCGCTTAACTCGACCTTGCGTTTATCTACTGGAATCACACGGCTCAGGGACGCCTAGAAATCGACCTCGGATAACTTGCGCTTCTCGTTTCGGCTCTACGTCCCGCTGAGGTACTGTTTACATTAGTATAGCTCATGGAGTAGTTGAAGCTCTATACCAACTTCCTCCCGTGCCTTACCAGCTTCTGATCACCGACACCGAGGACAATTCGATCGGGCAAGTCAGCTATTCGAGACTCAAACGTTACCTTGGGAAGTCTTTTCAGACGACAAAATTCAACACTGAACTCTATGACTTGCCCCGATTATTGCAAGTCGGCCAGGAAATCATGACGATACAAAAGGTGGGTAGCATGGGGCGAAAAGCCAATTATAGAATCTCTAACCATTGAGGAGAATAGCATGGTTGCTTTTTACACATGTTCCTACACTTTAAATGACGAGAGGCTTGATTTCACTCTGATAGAGCGTGATATTGTGTACTGCGTCCAGGAGAGAAACAATGCTCTCGTTTTCGAGGCCGAGTGCTCTCAAGATCTAGGAGCATTATACGTCTGGTCCAGATACCAGGCGTGCCATGAAGTGCAAGTTGAGACTGTGTGCCCTATATCACACGATAGCTATCGACATCGTGGGCCTGTCATAAGCGACGACGATTTCCTCTGTTTTGTCAATAGAGAAGACAAGCTGATCTGGAGGATGGATGGTCCTAAGGCTGACGGCGATAGGGCCGATCAGACGGTAACAAAGCTCGCTTGGCCAAGATGAAACGCGAATACAGATTCGGACGATACTTGCTCCCACCGCACGACCACGGGCTTTCCTGCAAATGGCGCTGATTGATTCAAAAGACACAGTGTGTGTATTCTACTCCCCCGATAAACGAGACTTCACACCTGGTCATCCGTCTACCTGGCAGACGTACAAGCCAGATGATGGTGAGATTGGCAACGACGGATGAGCTACAAGTAGTAGGTGAGTGTCGACCTAAACTGCAGGCTAGCTGTCACTAAATCAGGTGGTAATGAGCTTAGAACTCGACAATCTTCAATGTGGCCGTGACTCGGGCTGCGTGTACATCATGCCGATATAATGGTTGAGTACTGAGATACATAAGGTAGTTCAAGTTGGAAAGATTGGGTGTGGCTAGGCAAGGTATATCTCCGGCTTGCCGCCGAGCTATCCACGAAGTGCTTCGTGGATGAGATGGAACCTTGGATCTGAGCCTTTGATACAAGCACTCTGAAATCAAAACATTATTGAAATCAAGGAATGGACGAGTTTTATTTGCACAGGTTGGTTTGCTGCAGAAAAAAGGAGATCATAGGTAATATTGCAAGCCTAGCTGTAGTATATTTGGGACTTTTCATGTTGCAATTCCGAGTTATCATATGAGACTGTACCCTAAAGACTTCGTGCTATTTCCTAGTATCTATTAGCGACAATAAGCATCAGGGCGTGTCTTTAGCACGCACTGTGCTGGTATCTGTAACCGAGTAACAGCATTTTCTATCATCTTGGACTTCCTTATCACACAAATTACTTGTACTTGACTTTGGGACTTACCAATTTGGCTCATGGGAAGAAGCTCTACGCAACCACTCGCTCCCCAGCCAAGATGACTTATCTCGAAAGACTTTCTCACGTAACTCTGGTTACCCGACTAGCATGGCAGCTGTCGTCGATATAGTTCGAGAGTATCTGTCTCTGCATAAGCATTCTCTTGACATCCTCATCAATAACCCCGGCCAGTCCCTGGTACATCCGGCGCTGAACATCTCGATCAATGAGGCCAAATCCTCAAAGGGAATCGCCTGAGGGGGACTGGGTCGTATGGCTCCCCCCTTAAGCGTGTATCCTAAGAAAGTTAGCCTGAACTATTGAGACACAACAACGGTTGAAGGCTGGACACACAAGTCACCCTTTCTTCGTTGCGTCTCCATGCTTCATGCTATGAGGGCCTCGGGCGTGGGATAGGCACAGCCTCGAAGATCTCCAGGTGATGAATACTGACGATAGAGAGAGAACAACTTTGCGCTTGGATACTCTGCTGTCGTCGACTGGTACATTTCCGAATCCGAGCACGCATGGTATCAGCTTCACCTGCCCGTGGTGTTAAAGTGGTTGGTCTACATTCTGACGAGGTTGCAGTCGGGCTCGACATTGGTTATGATGGTGAAAAAACCGACGAGGCCTTGAACAATGGCACCGTTGGTACATACTCCGGTCATGGTGAGCGAAGGTCTGAAGACAGCAGTCGAGAAGCTGGCAATGTATATGGATGTAAACTAGGAGACATCCACCGGGCGCGTTTTTCAGCCTTTTCCCAACTGGATTGCGATCCAGGATCGCTACGTATGGAAACACGTTCGAGTGAAAGGTTCACCAAACTCTGCTCAAAACCAAGCAGCAGTGACTTCAAAGTATCGAAATAGATATCAAGCTCGACATGATTGGAAAGACCCTCTGACATGGACAGTCCTCTCACTTCATCCAGACTTTCGCTTGTCACAACGAAATGAATAGTACGGAAGAAGGTCTTCGCAAAAGTCTCCCGCGAAAGATATTCAATGCGCAACCTGATACTCTCAGCGCCATGAATTGTTGGAGATCCAAATGGCGACATATCTCTAATATCAATTCCGCTGGAAGAGCCGCAATGGACATGTTGGATCTTGACTGCATGAATGGCCTTCGAAATCCAGAAGATGGCGATTATCAGAGGGCTCAATCTTCAATCAGCAATAACCAGTCTCCATGTGAGATTGCTGGCCCTCTGTGACGTGGAGACGAGAGCAGGGGATTTATGGAATGCTGCGCAGAGAGAGACAATAATTAAAAAGCTGTGCTGTAGTGCTGGAGCGGACTGCCGCTTCCTCCTCGGGCAAGAAGAGTAGTCCTACCGTATGCGGCGTGCCTTCGTGTATGCGAATCGCAAAGGGCAAGGCGCACAGGTCTCAGAACTGAAATTCGCAAATCGCCTGCTATCGTGCAGAGAAGCATACCCGGTCTCCAACTCACCCACGCTGGTCATCCCCAGTCGAGCGACGGAAGACGCGTGAACGGAGAAAGGCATGATTGACTCTTTACTATTGTCATTGTATGCATGGATCCCACAATGACATTAACATGATCCGGCCGACTGCCGAATGTCTCTGGTCATTGAGTACGAAGACAAAGACTACATACGTATGTGGTCCAAAGATCCCAATGGAAGGATGACTTCGATGATTCAGTATTATGCCGCAACGGCAGAGACATGGTATTCAAGACCTCTGCGATGACGAAAGACGTCTCGCTAGAATGGGACAAAAGATAACAGAAGAGGTATCATAGCAACATTGAATTACCAGGTCCAGCTGGATGAGAGCAATCCTCAAGACAAATACGTGGAAGAGAGAAATATGACCTAAACATCGGCAGTCTTCTATTTCGCCTTTTGTTTGCCCTTGGGACGGCCTCGTGGTTTCGCAGCCGGGGGTTCAGAGACTGCATTATCGTGTTCAGACTCACTCGGTGTCGTGTCTGTCGTTGTCATGGTTGTCGGGGGAGGTGGCGCGGCTTCAGTCTGGTCGGTCTGCACAGGCCCCTCACTCCCTTCTGGAAGACAACATTGGGTAAAGAAGAGACGGGCGTTTCTATTTCGAGAATTTTGAAAACTGTAGTAATTGCCTGCCGATTGTTGTGTCAGTGACAAGAGGAAAGAGGATCAATGTACAGCCTGGTAATTATATCAACATACCTCGTGGAATCTGGAACACAGATCCTTTGCCGGCACTGAATTGGACACCACTGATATCAACCTGTACTCGACCATAACAGACGTAGAAGACCATGTGCATTCGCTTTGAATTTTTCGGCTTTTTCACACCGTCGGGTGGCAGTTCCACTACACCAGACCCGATAAATGAGGAGCTGAGAAGCTTTGCGAAGCGGAACGAAGCTCCTTTGACTTCTCTGGTCTCGAAGCCAGAAGGTGCATAGGCAATATCTGTCAAAAGATGTGAGTCACAATGTTTGGAAACCGTAACAGGGACTTGATCGTCAATCGTACCTATCACTTCCTCTTCCGATGTGCTTGTTTGTGCAACCGGATCCCACTTCGAGACGTAGCCGTGAAGGACACCGGTCTCCTTCTCCCAAAGATCGGCATCGTCGTCAATCTCATCATCGTCTGAGGAATCATCCTTTGACTTTTTGGACTTGCCCTTGCGGCCTTTCTTGCTCCTTTTCGGTCGATCTGGCTCAAGCTCTTCCGTACGAATGACCTCTTTGATGGTCGAAAGAGGGTATCGTTGGCCTTCGACCGCTTCACCGTCTCCATATACGCATCGCTCATTGCGCCAATACGCCAAGGGTCGAACCGATACTCGTCCGGAGCGAGTGTGTGTGGTCTCATTGCTGCTGGGGTCCTCACGCTTGAGGATATACAGGCTGCGACCTTTCAAGGGACCAGATCGCTGGGCGTAATTCTCAACGACACGATCCAGTTCAGGATCCAGCGGCTCTCGTGATACGCGACTTGGCTCGGGCGCGGACTTCTTTTGTTTTTTAGCGGGGTGAGGTTCGGTGGTTTCTTCCTCATCGGCAGGTTGTCGATTCTTTGGAGGACGACCGCGTTTCCCGGCGGGTTTCGTGGCGGTCTTGGCCGCCTTGCTCTGCTTGTCTGCTGCGGCTTTTGAGGTTACTTTTGACTTCGATGCGCCAGACTTGCTCTGTATCGCAATTTCCGGCTCCGGAGATCCTTGCTCTTCATCATCCTCTTCACCATTCACCTCCTGTGCGGGTTCATCCGCAGGTTCATCGTCCGGCGGCATGACAGTCTCATTCCGCTCGTCGTACTCGTCGCTGTAATCGTCCTGTCCGGCGGCAAAAGCGTCGCCGTTCTCATCACCCTCTCCATCGTCGTCTGAAAATTCCGCCGCTTCCGTCGAGATTAATCGGGATTTCCCAAGGTCTCGCGCCGCTTTGTTGTTCGCCGTGCCGGCGTTTACTGAACGATTGGTCAGCGGGGTTGGATCCCCGCGCGCAGATGATAAACGCCTGCCATCTGATGGGCTTGAGGCTACAAGATCCTCTCTGTCATCTGGAGAGGAGCGCAAAAAAGGCGACCTTCGGGAATTCTTCGCTGGTGACCGAGACACGGAAGCTCGGGAATTGTTGCGCGCATTGTTAGATGCGCTAAGGAAATCCATTGGTCCTGGCGCATTGTCTGTCCGAGGGAAAAAGGTTTCATGTTAGCCATTGACTGAGACTATAGACAAGGCGCTTGATCTATGCCGGACCATACCATCTTCAATAGACATTTCTGAACCAGTGTCATCCGCATCAGAGAATCCATTCTGTTGCGCTGGCGACTTTTCAGGTGAAGAGAACAGTCCGTCCACTTCTTCCATTCCGTATTCATCGCGCTGTCTCTCCTCCATAGTGAGGCCCGTCCGCCTATGCGCGCGATCAGTGTTAATAGGTTACGCTCTCTCTCTCTCTCTCTCTCGGACAGGTACCAGTCTCAATCGCGACTTACCTCCCAAGAGTTCCGACATTGGAGAAGTCTAGATCACGGGGCTTCGTAGAGCCACGCGCCATTTTGGAAGAAAGAATCAAGTCTAACCACCAAAGTATTTATGGAATCAAATTGGTTGTTGGCCTTCCCGAAGAAGGATATACCAAACTGAAGAGAAAGTTGGCTCGCGCCGCGCAGGTGGGTGAGGGGGAAAGTGGAATGATGCAGCGGAATTTGGGGAGACGACGCGCGCCGCAAGCGCTAAGCCCGAACGGTCGACGCGTCGCCATACTTTGGCGTCTGCTTTCATGTCACTTGAACATTTTATCTTCAATTCATCTCCACTCGTACCTCACGCACTCAGATAAAGTACACCGGCCAAAATGGGCAAGGATACCAAGCTTGATATTGCCGAGGACGCCATGTCCTTTGTTCCTCCGAGTATCGACAGAGCCCGTCTGCTCACGGGAGATTCCTACGCCTACTATACGCCATGCCCGGCCGGAATCACACCATTTGACAAGAGTTCATCGACGCCGCAATCAACAAAGGCGACACCATGTGTACTCGGGGTTGATGAGGCCGGCCGTGGGCCTGTTCTAGGCCCTATGGTCTACGGCGCCTTCTATCTTCCTCTGGAGTTGCATCACTCTCTCCTGGCGACAGAACACAGCTTCGACGACAGCAAAGTTCTAACACCCGCAGTGCGTGCCAATCTGATGCGATTGATCAACACACCCGGAGAAAACCTTTACGAATTATGCGGATATGCGATCAAGGTACTTTCGGCGCGTGACATTGGTTCCGGGATGATGAAGCCAGGCGCTGCAGTGTACAACCTGAATGCGCAAGCCATGGACGCAACAATCGAAATTATCCGAGGAGTTTTGCAAGACCATGCGGTAAATGTGCAAGAGATTTATATCGATACTATTGGGAATCCGGCAACCTACCAAGCCAAGCTTGAGCGCATCTTCCCGTCCATCAAGATCACCGTGGCCAAAAAGGCCGACTCGTTGTATCCGTGCGTCAGTGCGGCGAGCGTAGCCGCGAAAGTGACCCGAGATGTTGCTTTAGAGGTCTTGTACGAACACGTGCTCAGGGCTCAGCAGCTTGACGAGAACGCCACTCCCCTCGAGGGGTGGGGAAGCGGTTATCCTTCCGACTCCAAATGTGTTGGCTGGCTTCGGCGTAACATGGATCCTGTGTTTGGCTGGGGCAGTGAATGCCGCTTCAGTTGGGGTACAGCCAAGGAAATGTTGGAACAGAAGGGTGGCGTGCGCGTCGACTGGCCAGCCGATGAAGATGAAGGTAGCGGCATGCTCAGCGATTTCTTGCTCACATCCGGACCTGGCAAGACTACAAGTAAGGACGGCCTGAAAGAATGGTTTGGACAACGTCAAGCAGAGATTTTTTGATCTGATATAATGGCATGGCGTGGGCCCGCATGGGAGTTATGGAGTTGGCAATCGTATGTATTATAATGGTGATACCCAATGTGGCATATTCGAAGTAAAGCAATACATTATAAAGGAGCGTTTGGTACAAATTCTCGGGTCCTCCAACGTCATGTTCGTAGGCCAAATGGACAGAGGAAAAATGGGGTATCATGGGAAAAGGTCATAAGACAATCGGCGGCCCAGCACGGAGTGAGGTTAAAGCGTGGCAGTCGAGAAGTAGTAGTTGTCCCAAAGATACTCATAGTCCTCAACGACGCTTCCTACCAGGTCCAAAAGTGGCTTCCCCTTCATCTTGCCAGTGAGGCTTCGTATCCAGGATCTGGTCTTGGTTAGCCCAAAGGTTCGAAAAAAAGGCACGTCGAATCGGGATCAGTAAACTTACTTGGTGATGTTTTCGTAAAAGGCGCCACGCATCATCCACCAACCCATAGACCATCCACGTTTTCGCAGTTCTTCACGCTCAAGACCAGTTAAGCCACGAAGGCCACCGGCCACGCGTTCCCGGAAATCGCGCTTGGCGAGCTGTCGACAGCCATATTCCATGCCGAATCCAATGAGCCACGGCCGCCAGCTACGCCGGTCTCCACTCCAACGCTGCATTGCCAACGTATATACAACGGGCCGCAAAATGTACATGACCTCCGCCAACTGGCCCTGACCGGTGACACGATGCAACAGTGCCTTCGGGGGTTTGATATCATCCGCTGTGAGCACCTTCGAGATGAGGTAGTTCGATACATCGTTCACGTCGGGTAGAGACGGCATCGAGAGTCCAGTGCGGGGCATTGTCCAACTGATGTCAGTGGAACGCTCGCTTGTAGGAGTATCCATCCCATTCCAGTCACTCTGCTCCTCCTCCACAACTTGTGTCGACCGAGGGTCAACCTCTCGCTCTGGCAGTGGAGGGCTGACTAGCGGTCGGGAATTGGTAAGCCGAAGCAAAAGCAGGCGACAGATTGCTTTGGCAATTTCGAGAAAGACGATTACACGCCATCGGGTCTTTTGTCCGCGCCGCCGGGCTGTCATTTCCCACAGCAGTTCCGTGTACCGTAACATTTGCAGCGCCACGGCGACGCGATGATACAGCGACGATCGCGATGTCCAGTACTTTGTATATCGCGCGTGCGGGGAAGGTGGCGGTCTCGGGACAGTTGATGGAAGTCGAGATATGACTTTTGACACAAGGGAGTCATGATAGAGTGAAAGCAGTTGAACTCCAGAATGGACTAGGGACAATGGTCAGCTGCTTGACGCTCCTGTCGCAGAACAAGTGGGTGTTCTACTCACCACATTCTGACGCAACTTCAGATTCGCGGTATCTCCCTACAAAATGCAAGTAAGAAGTCGTCAGTCCTGTCGATTTCCCACTGCAGTTCTCCAAGGTAGTACCCACCAGGGATGATATAGGTCAATGAGCTCAACGCGGACTCTACGGAGCCTACGGAGCTGGAGTTCTTCGCGACAAAGTCTTCATACATGGAAAGCCATTTTGAAGGCTGCATCACCTCCCTGGGAATGGGATTCTGAATCTTGCGCACAGCCTCCATGACGCTGCAGTAAGAGGCTGTTCGATGTGGAGAGTTCACGAAATCCGGGGGAGATTGGAAGCAGCAAGTAAGGGAGGTCACGCGGCCGTGCCAAGCCTTTTTTGCCGAGGCTGTTTTATGCAAGATCCACCCAGCAGCACCCGTCGAGAAATTGGAATGCTGCATCATCGTCTCACGTCAACACAGTTGATTTGAACAAAGCATGATGGAGATTGTGTATCCTCAGGTTAACCCATGAATCTTGTTATAACAGATACAACGCTCGTCTTAAATCAACTCTTTACTTGAATAATCGAGATCGTTGAATACATTGAGAGAAGAATGGTGGCACTGGAATAACTGCTCAGTCAAGTTTATCGAAAGACCAATCGCTTATCGTAACATGTCAACGGGGATGGTACACGATTTAAAATCATTCATCAGCCCATAACCAGCGTCCTCCGGGGCGCATCGCCTCTCGGTATCGATCTTCGACTTTCTCTCGCTCCATCTTCCGCGCGGCTTCTCGATCAGCTTCAATTTCCTGCGTGGACGGCATTTCTGTGCGCCAAAATCCAGGCGGGCTTCGAGCGCGCTCATGCGTGTGTCGATGCCTTCCGTATTGATTGGCATAATGACGGGTAAAAGCCTCCACTAGCAAATCGTCACATTGCTCTTCGGTCATTTCCCGCGCATTGACTCCATTCTCACCGAGGTAATCTCTGATGATCCGCTGCTCCGTTTCAATCTGCTCCGCTGTCTTGTTGTCGCTGTGAACAGCCATCCGAGCCATAGCGCGAAACCGGTCTCCACAGCACCCCGAACGTGTACAACCGGACATGCACTTCCGTTCATCTTTTCTGCGGATCACATCGCTATAAGCGAAATCGAGACCTGCGTTCACAGCTGGGTTGATTTTGAAGTGATGAAGGCCTAACCGATGTAAAGGACGTGACCGAAATGGTTCGTCTTCTGGCCGCAGCTCGAGGCCACACTGCGCTGCAGGGCCTTGGTGCGCTGCCTGTGGACGTGGAGACGCAGATGTATTCGTCTTTGCTTTGGACTTCTTCAAGCGAGAACTCGGACTCGGTATATGGCCTGGTGCTCTTATTGGAGATTGCAGCGGCGACTTGGAAGGCGGCAGCCCTTCAAGAAGACTGTGAAGGCGACTACTTCCGTCCTGTCTAGCCTTGGGTGTTGCACCGTTGATGGGGGTCTTGGCACGCTTTCTTCCGGCACAATCCTGAACGTCGCCGGAGTCACCGTCTTCTGCCATCATCAGAGCAGCGACTGTTGAAGGACGGGGCTTTTTAGCATTGGAGCCTCGCATGTGGATCCTAGACGCTCTCGCATTCCCATCCACAGGCTGCAAGATACCAACCGTCTTGGCTGAGTGTGTGGGAGTGGATACTGGTGGATTTCCTGCAGAGACTTCTTTTTCTCCATGTTGTGGGATGTCCTTGAAAGGCTGCTTCTTGGTGGGGGTCTGCACAGTGCCACCAATTTCATCGAGGTCTTGGGTGCTTGGGAAGTGCGTCAGGGTGCAATGCGTCACAACGTCTTGACGGGCAGGACTTGATGATAATATCTCGGATTTGATTAGTACTGGCTTTTCGGGTGCACCAGGTCTTGGCTCCTCTTCGTCAGATGCGTGAATCCGCTTTCGTTTCCTCGTCTGGAGGTTGGGTGGAAGGTCAGAACTTGATTCGGAAGAGAGTCCGTCGCTTGTCAATGTCTCCTCGGTGGATGTGACCATAGAGGAACTGGCTGGATTTTTATCCTTGTCGTTCTGTAAGTGTTCCCTCGGTCGAGGCCCACATGCTGTCGCCGGCTTCGGGTTGTGAAGGTGCTCACCACGGTCGACCCGTTGAATTTGAGGGCGACTCTGCGCTGGATATGAGCTGTCGTCCGCGCTACCAATTTGCATGGACAACTGCGTAGGTCTGTCATTTGTGTCTCCTTCGTGGTTCTTGGATCTCGTGAAAGTGACCAGGCTGTTGTCCACGGTGACACTGAAAGATTTGCGCTTCAGCTGCCGCTCCCAATTTTGCAATTTCTTCTTATGCTGCAGAGTCACTGCTTTGAGGCCACTCCAGCTTTGGACGAATTCTCGAAGGCCATCATAGAGCATTGTGTATTTCGTCTTCAGGATTTCATGCAGTTGACTCGAATCAAGTTCTCGCTCCTTCCAGACACTGCTTGGCGCATAATCTTTCTCGAGATTGCGTACATTTTTGGGGGGCTCCAGCTCTCGCGGGTCGATGTTGTAGGTGCCAAGCTCCCTTTTCAGCACGCCTACGTGACGTTGAAGCTCGTTAACCCTTTCCTCGGCGGCTCTCTGGGCCTCAACAGCGGCTGACTTGCACCTCTCAGCTTCCTCCAGGCGTGTTTTGTAAGCGGCTATCGTCGTTTCAATCTGTTTTTGAGCATGGCTAACTGAGACTGTACATGCTTGGGCTAAAGCCGCCTGAAGATCCTCGAATACCTCCATGTGTTTCAGGCGACGGAGCTCCTACGCGGCGTCAATTAATGAGCTGACGCGACTGGACGTATACCGCGTAAAGCTGGCAAAACCTCACCGTGTTGTAGACCGCTTCTGTAACCGCAATCTTATCTGCTGCCGATAAGATGTAGTCCGACGAAGCGCCGTAGCTTTGACTTTGGCGTTGCTATTCTGCTTCATGTCTTTTATGAATCATGTCAAATACGCATGATTAAGGATCTTGCATCCAAGTATGCCCAAACGTCATTTGAATGATGAACTCGTCACGCAACCCCCAAGTAAACGGCGGCGGGATCTGAAAAGCACCCCGCCTGATCGGTTGTCGTCTCTTAGTGACGAGCTGCTTCTCCAGATCCTTTCATTTCTGCCCATCTCCTCGTTGAACATCTGCCAAAGGTAGGAGCTATTCGACTCTAAAAAGTAATAGGGTGTACTATAATGTACTGACGACTCTCATTCTAGGCTTTCGCGTCGTTTCCATACGCTTGCTGGAGACCCTGAGCTATGGAAAAGACAATACTATGTGCAATGGGTTCGTCCCCGAGCTCGGCGGCTGGCCAATGTGACTCGCTCGACTCTTCCATCGAAAACCTCCGCAGCTCGAGTGGACTATTCGCCGAAAGTCTCGACCTGGCTTGATCACGGTCACTTGACTGCAGACGGAAAGATTACGAATTGGAAGGGTCAATACCGGCTTCGGCACAACTGGTCCACAGGAGTCTGTCGAGTGTCTGAAGTCAAATTCACTGAGTCTCAAACGCCGCCAATATTGGCGCAGCTTTGTGCTGGTGTTGTCTTCACTGCCGATACCGTGCACGGCCTGAGGGCTTGGGCGGCCAAGGACCCTGCACACTGCTTCGCGGAGATCAGCTTTTCGGATTCCGTGGAAACCCCTTCTATCAATCCGACTGCTCTTGCGGTGAGTCATTTTGTGGATGAGCGTGAAGTTGTAGTCGGTTTTGACGATGGTCAAGCATGTCGCTATCTGTTCAATGTCCGAACTGCCCGGCTGCAGCTCGTCTCCCGACACACGGGACTAGCTGATGGAGCGATCACTGCCATGGCTCTATCTTCTGCCTATTTGATGGTTGTTTCTGAGAACAAAAATCTGTCCCTCTACCATTTTCAAGGATCGGCTCGATCGTCAAGGTCCGCCAAGCTGCAGAAATTGACTTCCCTGAGCGCAGCCAACATGGTCGCGCCTATGACACTCTCTATGCGCAGATCCGGTGTGAATATTGTGGCTACCATTGTGTATAGCTTCTTTCATATCAGCTGTGGCTGGTCTTTGGGGATTCAAGAACTGCGATTTGACCGAACCGGTCAGCAAGTGGAATCCCGGCTGACGAGTACGGTAGAGTCTCAGCATGGAACTTTGTCAGAACGAGGCCGGCCAGAATCGCGAAATCAACGGGATTCGGTGACGTTGGAGATAGATGTGGACAGAATTGCACCTGACTCGGGCGAGCCACTTATTGTTCATCTTCATCCGCCAACATCCATATCCTACTCCCACCCGTACCTGCTCACCTCTCATGCGGACAACACTTTGACGATGTACCTTGTCGTATCGGATAATCAGCGGCTGTTTGTTCGAGGCGGGCAACGACTTTGGGGCCATACCTCGTCCGTCTCTGCCGTGCAGGTAACAAACCGAGGCAAGGCCATCTCTGTGAGTGGACGGGGAGATGAAATCCGCATCTGGGAACTCGAACCCGCAGTACGCTCTCTCGGTAGCCGACCACTATTGCAGGACGAGAGCAGCATCAAAGTCCATCCAGAGCATCCCGATCATGATGAGGCAGACTTGGACTCTGCACCCACCGGCTCCCCGGGAGACATTCCGGAGGAACATGAAGTGCCAGATGGTTGGTCCATCATACAGGGATGTGTTGGCTTCGATGAGGAACGGGTCCTTTTGCTACGGGAAAAAGCCGTTGGTACGCAACTTCTAGAATGCTACGATTTTACGTAGCCTACTTGAAATGCCTGCCACTCCTGCAAGGTCGGGAAGTGATCTTCTGCCTCGAGCAATCGAATATCGAGGCTTTTGACACAATTTTCCTAGAAGCGCTTTATAGGACCCTGGCACAAAATTGCGCCTCCGAAATCGGTTCCCAAGGTCCCTGTTCCGGCTCCGCTCTTTGAGGACCTTGGGCAGCATCCACTGGGTTCATAAATGAGAATTGGGCCCGAATTACTTTGCATCCTTCTCTTGACAAGTCATTGCAACGTCTTAAACGATTAATGCGTTGATCAATGCAGGGTATTCTCACACGAATTCAGAGTGCAGTTGGATGTCACTGTGATCCATTGCATGTTCAATCCTATCTCAGGGACAACGTGTCTACATCCAGCAACAATACTGTCTCTGATTGACCACGACCTATCTCTACAAGCGAAGCATTTGTGGAAGACGTCCGGCTGCAACCAATACGTGCGCTGATGGAAGATCTTCTGTGTCGCCGGCGGTTCGGAAGCTGTATAGCCTGCAAGGGGGAATCGTGACCACGATCTCCGCCCGACATGAGACACCACTTTCGTCACCACGCCTTGTCGCATTCAAATAACTAACCTACAGGAGAAAGAATGTCAATTCGAAGGAGTCTGTGTGATGGTGGGGAAGTTGCTGAAGCGTGGATCATTTGGATGGCCAGAATGTATGCAGTGAGAAGCACAAAATGAAGATTGAGATGCTGCCTTGTTGGATTTCACATGCCATACCATGGCGAAGCTTATCCGAGACAATCGCGCTGTTGGAGTCACTCTGCTCTGGTCTCTACTTGAGACTCAACGTAGCAGCTCAGCTCTTTTGTGCGGGTTTCGCGAACGGGTGTATGTCCTCCAGGTCTTCTTTTACGAACACGACAGACCTTGGTGCCTGATAATGATGTCTGATTATGATGCCTGATTCATCGGGCCACCATGCTATGTGGCGGATGCCTGAAGTTTGAACACCGCAACGCCTGCAGAGTCAGACATTCTCCCGCGGCGGACGATTATTACACCCGCGTACAGTACAGTCAGTACTGGAGCGCCCCCGCACTACAAAATTTCCTCGCCTACTCTGCCATGCCGCTTTTCGACCCAAGGAAAAAAAAATAGTACCCTAAGAAAAAACCTTCCTCCCCTCATCCGCTCCTGATCCTCCCTCAACCGAAAACATCCTTCTTTCTTCCAAGTCAACCTCTTCTCTCTTCCAACCGTCAATCAACATCTTCACAATGGACTCCCGTTCTCGTGCTTGCTACAACTGTACGTCTTCCTGCAATCTCTGTGAGCCTGGCTTGGCCTCATCTGTGACTCGCACACTGCTTCGCAGAATTGAGGGGTACATCGTCTCTGTTGGCCCTTGAAAATCTGTGACTCTGGTCCCTGCTGTGACATACGCCTTCTTCCTTGACTTGACTATAAGAGTGTCATGCCGTGCAGTGTGCATGGCAGATTTTTTATGGTCATGGAACACTACTCCGTCGCTGCGATTCACTCGCATTCCGCCTTTTGATGATTCTCGTGTTTTGGGGGCTGACTTGTACTCTTCTTTGCAATAGGCGGTGACGCCTCTCACCAGGTAATTACCTCTCGAAACTCCCGATGAAGCCTTGCATCCACGGCACGATCCGTCAGGTCTCTCTATGACCTTGCTGTCGTGGCACAATTGAAATCCCACTCTGAATACTTTCAGTCGGCGAAGACATCCATGAACCTTGACTAACCATCCATAACAATATCCAGGCTAAGGACTGCCCCAAGAAGGGTACCCCCACTTGGTAAGTCACTGGCCCCTCTGTTGACCAATACCACATGTCGAACGTACTGGCTAACCTTCCCGTCCATAGCTACAACTGCGGTGGTGAGGGCCACGTCAGTGAGTAATCCCGGACGACAAGCCACGAGAATTGTGATTGCCCATCAACGGACGGGCATTCTCGTACATCATCATCCATCCGCTAATCTCCGTCTTCCTCAGACCGCGAGTGCCCCGAGCCTCCCAAGGAGCGCACCTGCTACCGCTGCGGCCAGACCGGTCACTTGTCTCGCGAGTGCCCCCAGGGTGGCAACAGCTACGGCGGTGCTTCCGGCGGCAGCCAGGAGTGCTACAAGTGCGGTCAGGTCGGCCACATTGCCCGCAACTGCTCCCAGGGCGGTGGTAACTACGGTGGTAACGGTGGCTACAACTCCTACGGCAGCCGCCCCCAGACCTGCTACTCTTGCGGCGGTTTCGGCCACATGGCCCGTGACTGCACTCAGGGTCAGAAGTGCTACAACTGTATGTATCCATGCAAATCCTCTGGTTGACGTGAGAGAGTGTATCATCGATGGCTCGAACATCGAGGTCTCCCTTTTATTCTATCGACCCTTCACGACCAGTTACTGACCCCTTCTTTTTTTCTTCTATCACAGGCGGTGAGGTCGGCCACGTTTCCCGTGACTGCTCTACCGAGGCCCGCGGTGAGCGTGTCTGCTACAAGTGCAAGCAGCCCGGTCACGTCCAGGCCGCTTGCCCCAACTAAAATGTTTCATTTTCCGGCTTTGGAACAGGGGATGTCACCTTTCTTCTTCCTTTTTGGTCTCCTCGGAACATAGGAGTTCAGGAATTTAAAAATACAAGTGGGATGGTTTCTCTTTTCAATTCACCTTTGATCGCCTCCTCACTCCGGTCTTTCCCCCCTCGACCTATTCTCCCTCTCCCTCTCTCTCTCGACTCTGATTTTTGTCTTCTCATCTTTTTCCTTTTTTACATTTTACATGCGCCACGATTTGAGATGTCTATTCCCCTCGGGCTTCCTCGACTTTGTATGATCACTCACGGCTGGAATCACGACCATGGGTCTTTCTCTTTATGATTTCCCCCTTTTTGCATTTTTATACTGTGGGCTTGATTTCTCTACCTGCCCTGACTGTCTGACGGCTGAATGTGGTATCGTCGAGGTATAAAAGCACTGGAAGAGTTGGCTTTGAACAATCTCGGGCTGTCTCTCCTCTGTTCATGTTTCCTCGACTTTGATACGGACGAGATTCTCGCTTTCCCTTTTCCATGTCCACCGAGTTCTCCTCGCGTGGAAAGGGAGGTGCGTTGAGAATCTGCAACGGTGGTGATTTTTTGTTCCCGAAAGTTTGAACAAGGAACGGGAAGGCATGGAATTATCATGATGATCTCTTCTGGGCAATTACTTGATATGCATGGGGGAAATGCATGGCTATGTCTCTCTTTCACTTGTGCATTGTAGGCTGTAAATGGCGGAACCAATGGAGTTTTGCAACTCGGGTAACCAGTCGGCATATCCGTTGCTGTACATCTTTTCCTTGAGCAGAGGTATGAAAGACTGGAGGCTCCAGGTCCCAAGTTGTTTATGATGAGGCCTGTCAACTTGCCGCTTTGTATCTGGCAACCTGTTGTCCATAGAGACGTCACCTTGGCGGCTTCAAATGGCCTGGAAATAGAGACTCACGCCTCCGTGAAGGAAGACATGTACATCACACGATAGTCCTTATGGCACTGTACAGTGTACACTGAATCAGTGGATACTACGATATTGAGTATACACCCAGCCCCTAGGAACTGCAACTACACATCATCGCTCTCTTATACTTGGGTACGTCGCCACAGAACCGATCTTCCTCCGCCCTGTCAAGGCCCCATTCCTCGTTGAACGGGTTCAGCGCCATCTGCATGACGCGTCCGAGGATCTCGCGATCACCCTTTTTCTCCACGCGGTCGATGACTTCGTCGAGGATCCAGCCTCGGGGGATGAACTGTGGGGCAGAAGGGTATGTGGTTAGGTATTGGGCTCTATGAGAGGAGAGGCGCTTCTAAGGACGGGGGGGGGGGGGGGGGGGGGGGGGGGGAAGTCAGATACTCACGTTTGGATTTACGGACTTCATGACTGTCTGCCTTTCTTGATCTTGGGGCTCATCGCTGCCCCAATCCTCAATGACACGTTTTCGCCAAGCATCAAGCCATTTGGAAATGCGTGACTTGGCCGATTCCTCGGTCGTTCCGACACCGCCGAATCCTTCGGCATGGGCGAAGCTCGTCGCGGCGGCCAGTCGTTTCTCCTCCGTGTCTACGTCCGAGAGTGAAAGGCTGGACAGGCGGCGGAAGAAATGGTTGAAATCGAGCTCGAGGGCCTCCATGGTGTCGAGGATCTCAGAATAGAGGGTCTGGAAATCGGATTCTTGCTGAGTCTTGAGGCCTAGACGCTGAGTCATGAGTCGTTTGTATTCGTGCAGGAAGACAGCGCGGAATTCCTCGCCAGTGCGCTCGATGATCTTCTCGGCGCGTTGGATGAGTTCGGTTTCCTGGGTCTTGTCGGTGACGCCGTCTTTGACGAAGGACTCGTCGTCGACGTGTTTGCCTGCGCCGAGGAGTTCGCCCAGCGACTCGCCGAGGCGGACGAGGTTCCACCAGATGATGCTCGGTTGGTTGCGGTAGGAGTACCGGAGCATGTGATCGTCGTGGTTGGGCGTGTATGTCGGATCGAAATTGTCCATGAATGCGAAGGGGCCAAAGTCAAGCGAGAGTCCGTAGATGGAGGTGTTGTCGGTGTTGAGCACCCCGTTCATGAATCCGTAGGCCTGCCATGCGGCGACCGTTTTGGCATTGCGTCGGGCGATTTCGCGGTACAGCCGGGCGAAGCGATTCTCGTCAATCTCGTTGCTGGTTTGAATTTCGTCGCGGGCTACTCCGCGCGCGGGGTTGTCGACGACTTGGGTGTCCTTGGGGAGCGATCGATTGTCATCGAAGGTCAGGGCGCCGGGGAGGGTCTCCCAGCCGCCAAATACATCTTCGGCGATGAATGTGGAGAGTTGGCGGGTGAGAGCGCGTTCACCGCGTGCACGGAGGAGATCAAAGGTGCCGATTCGAAGCCAGCTCTCGGCGAATCGGGCGACGATGGCGCCTGGTTCGAGACGCTCGCGGAGAACCTTGGACTTGGGAAGCAGAGTGAGAGAAAGGGCGCGGGTGGTGGGGATGTTCAAAGCATTGAGGGCTGCGAAATGAAGTATTATGTTAAATCCTTGGACAGGTCACTCTTTAGGGGGGGGCCCGGAATTGAACAACTTACCTTCGGAGACGACGTATTCTCGGATACTGGATCGAAGGACAGCCTTGCCGTCTGCGAATCGAGAATACGGGGTTCGACCTGCGCCTTTCAATTGCAGTTCATACCGCCTGTGAGTTTGGGGGTTGGTGACTTCGAAGAGGCTGATAGCACGCTGACGAAACAATCAGTTGATTAGCCGATGCGATCATGTTCGAAAACTTTGAGGGATATCGCAAGCGAAGAATACGTACTCCATCGCCGAGCTGCCCAGCCCAGGAGCCACTGTAAAGCTTGTTAGAATATGTGATACTTTCACCGCATGTCAATAAGAAAAGACAACGAAAGAGAACCCATACAATTGCCATCCTAGAAAATGCGAAGGGGTTAGTTCTCCAATTCTCCGCTTGGCGATGTCCACTTGATGCAGTCTCTTTTTCAACAAAACTGACCTCCATAACACTGTGCCCAGGGATAAACACCTCCATCTGTCTCTGTCCATGCAATCTCATTCCCTGCCACCACTGCCTGAAACGACGCGTTCTCTTCTTCCCCCGGTTCTAGCCCCAAATCGGCCATTGCCCGAGGACTCACACCCAGTAGCTCCGTGTCCTCGGCTGGTTCAGGCCGCACATAGGTGAATAGTGCGCCTTTCACCATTCGTGGCCCGAGTGCTTCCCGGGGTGCGTGGTGGGAAATCTCGGGCGATTCGAATGCCGGGTCGGCGGGGAGTTTGCTTGTGAAGACATTGGACTTGGGCAAGTCGTGGAGAGACATTGTGCCTGGGCCTGTGGCCTGGTTGGCGGGCGAGGCTGTGCCTGTGAAGAGTTGGGCGGCCATTTGACTGATACGGGCGTGACTGGGTTTATAGCTGGGAGACTGTCGGGAGCTTCCCGTTGATGATGGTACTAGTAGTCGTCGTGATGGCGGGGACATGTGCAGGGATCGGAATCGGAATCGAGGGTATACTCGGAGCATTCGTGCCGGGACGACGGGCATGGAGATGGGGGATCAGTCTTGCCGGATTGCGTTGGATTCTAGTGAAATTCCCGCATGTGTTGTTCTCCTTGGTGTGATCTCCTTCTTTTCGCTTCTCTCGTCTTCCTGATAATTGGGTCTAAGAGGTTGTAGAATAGAGCACAACTTCTGACTCGAGACTTTTGCCTCGGGAATAGTCTTTATCGGTGATTCTTTCTTATCGCCCGCCGAGCTCAGCAAAACAGCCGCGAGTCAGCGAGTGACATCATACTATGCACTCATGATGAAGAGCCAACTGGTCAGAACTGGTCCGCAAACTGGAGGAAATTGACACGGCCAGTTTCTTGTCTGAAGATGAAGCATAATACACAACTCAGAGTGACTCATGTCTGACGTGGAACATGCGGTTGACTACTAGACATAGAGATGGTCGCCTCTTTCATTGTACCTACAACATAAGTATAACTGTTCCAGATCAAGGACTTGACATATACTCTCATTATTGAGTGCTGACTATAGTCAACTGTGCGTACATGCCTCTGCGTTGCCCTGTCAAAACTGACTACTATGTACATAGGTGTAGTAGGTATACTAATACTAGTCAATCACCACGATTGTGCCGAAAGAAGCACTTTGGCAATACCAGGTCAAGTGACGGACTTGGCGCGAGTAAGTTAGTTTTTGCCAGTTGAACACAGATGCTCTCGACCACAATTACGACGTTATCGAGACACTTTCTTTTCATTCTCCTCTTTGCACTCTACAAGCAAGGCGTCATTCTCTCCGCTGTCAGCGCCATGGTGAGCAGAGTGAGCCCAGATCATACGTCCGTGCAGCAGCTCTCGACCTAAACATCATGTCCTCTAACTTGCTGGACCGGAACCCTGGAATCCTTTTCCACCACGTCAATTTCCCCCGCGGAATCGCCCCGCGCTGTACAAGACGTACGCACCCCAAAAACTGGAAAATGCGGGATGTGTGGACGTGTCAAAACGAGAAGAGGAAGCCAGTATGACTGGATTCACCCAAAACAAGAGAGGAGGAGACCAGATGAGAAACCCACCTTCAAGGCAGCCACTGCGGTGGGTCATCTCCGATAGCCATGTCGATGACAATGACAATGTTTGGGTCCCGATCGTCTCAATCCTCGTGGCTTTAAAAAGGCTGCAGTATGTCCCACTTTCTTCTCCGGTGCCATTGATTTTCCTTCGCGTTGAGAAAATTACCTTTCCCTTGCACTGAAAGCCCCACCAAGTCCTTGTGAGGATTGTCCATTTAGTGTTTACGTCACCGCAATGGCTTTGTCGCAGACCATCCCATCAACAAAGTTGAATGATGGGTCGGAGATGCCCATGGTGAGTGCAGGAACGCGGGAGGTAGCAGCTGTGACTATATTGAGTATCGACCACAGATCCATGCTGACCCTTGTTCGGTGACTTTCTTCCTCCGATAAAACAGCTCGGATATGGCACAGGCACGGCGTGGTTCAAAAAAAGTGAATCCATCCTCGGTAGTCTCGACTCGAACCTCGTCGAGGCGACCAAGACGGCCGTCGGTTTAGGGTACCATCACCTCGACGGCGCCGAAGTGTATCGGACCGAGCCAGAGTTGGGCAAGGCGATTGCCGAGTGTGAGGTGCCACGAGAGAAGCTCTTCGTCACCACCAAGGTCAATCAGAATGTGTCTGATATTCCCGCTGCATTGGATGCCAGTTTGCAGAAATTGAATTTGGAATATGTGGATCTGTATGTTTTGACATGGCCCGGTTCCGGCCGTACGAGTTGACGAGGATCACGAATCAAAGACCAAGTGACTGACTGTCTCCTCAATTACTTCCTCTGTCTGCAGATACTTGATCCACCAGCCATTCTTTGCACAGACCAAAGAACAGCTACAACAAGCGTGGGCCGCCATGGAGCAAGTCAAGGCTTCGGGCAAAGCCCGCTCCATCGGCGTCTCCAACTTTCTGCAGAGCCATCTGGAAATCATTCTCGAGACTGCCACCGTGATTCCCTCGGTCAACCAGATCGAGTATCACCCTTACCTGCAGCATGGCAACCTCGTTCCTTGGCAGCAAAGTAAGGGCATCACGACGGTCAGCTACGGGGGCCTCACGCCTACCACTCGGGCGGCGGGCGGTCCCGTAGACGAACTGCTGGCGAGTCTGGCCAAGAAGTATGCCGTCTCGGCCGGGGAAATTCTGCTGCGCTGGTGCTTGGACCAGGGCGTGGTCTCGATTACGACGAGCAGTAAAGAGTCTCGATTGGTGAGTTATTTGCGGGCGTTGACGTTTCAATTGACTCCCAAGGAGATTCAGAACATTTCAGAGCTCGGTCAGACACACCACTACCGGGCATTCTGGAAGGATAAGTTTGCAGAGGATGATCGGTCCTGACCATCAAGCTGAATCAACGATGTGTAAATAAACCACACGGGATTGAGTGTGAGAAACCCGCGTGAGGGAAGGTGAAGGACATGCATGGCTCTAGCATAGACCGGGTCACATATAGTCAAGGTGCAAATAAGGGTCGTATAGGATTTCTTGTCCAGGCGCGTGCGCAGTACCTTTGGTATATAGTCTTATCTTGACACTTGCCTCCAGAAGACGGGATCGCATTTCGAGCAAAACTTATGAAACACGGCCGACGGTTTCTTCGGCGTCTAAGTGTTGATACATGATCTAGACTTGATTCTCAACTTGGGAATCTTGTTCTATCCGAATCAGTACTGCCGGGGAAATGTATGCCAATAGAGGCTCGCAGGCTTGACAATCCACTTCCTTGTCCCACCAGATAGTCGACGCATGGTCTATCTAGAATTCACAATATATCCAAAGTAGCTGCATCGGTATATACCCTCTCCCTTGCATGGCATGACAATTGTTTTTTTTGATGCGGTTGTGGTTGTGGTTGCAATGACCGCTCATTGTTGTCATCAAGAGTTGGTACCTACCATAATAGTACAGTAGTCCATGTCCATCTACTGAGTCCTGGACTCCTGACTAGTTAGTGACCTACCTTAGTAGTACGGTTACTCACTTACTCACTATTCACTACTCAGTCTCACCCCTTCTTATTTCCGAGGTATTGTGGCCCGACTCATCAGGTACCCGATATGGACCAAACTATACCTTGCATGACTCGTCGCAACAGAAGCGCCTGACCTACTCGAGGTCAGTGAAGTCACTCACGGAACGAGTATACTTGCCGTTTCCTCGCCATTTGGCTATCGAAATGATCATTTTGGAGACTCTTTCCACTTCCCTTTGCTTGATCCATTGTTCTTGTATATAATATCAATTCTCTGACATAAGACACAACTCCGTTTCAAAGTCAATCCACCCTTAGAATAAAGCCTCAGCTTACTCGTGAATCGCTCTGTCGGGACTTTTTGGAATTCAAGACGGGCCCTCACTTGATCTAATCACGCGGAATGTTCTGCCCTTCAACGCTCTCCCCACCACTCCATTTCTCTCCAACTTGCATCTCTTTACCCTCCAAACCTTCATCATTCACCTGGTATAAACCACCACCTCTAGAACGATGCCATAAAGAGCCTCTTCCGCGGCTGGTGAGCAATCGACCCACTCTAGGCCTTTTTGACCATCGCTTTCCCCCTCTCCCCTTCAACTCCTCTCACGAGGCACTACTACACTGAACTCCCATCTCCTGTACTACGGCGGTCCTCTCCTCCTCTTTCTCCAGTCCGGCCCGGTGGTGTTTCATTGCTCACTCGCTTTCACGCGCCGATGGGTTGGGACCCGCTCTCCCCAATTCCACTTCTTCTCTCCGGCGCATACTTTCTTCCCTGCTGATCCATACCCCGAATTGAGTCCCTCCACCCGACCCAAAGGGAAAAAGCAACAGCCCCAAACGACATTACCCGCGCGACTTGACAACAGTGAGCATCCACATCACTCTCCGATCTGGACCCGAGGCTTGACAGCTCCGTTGCTCAAACCGTTTGGACCTGTTCACCACCCACTCGGTGTTGTTTCTCTCGTCTTCTGACTTCTTCCTGGAACTGCCCGTTGCGGCGCGTGCCTCTTAATGAACTGATGATCCATGGTTCACGACTCGTCTTCTTAACTCCCCGCGGACTGCGATGTCGGTGAACAATCAAACCCCCTCCGCGGACACTTCATTCTCCCAACCCGCCGACCAAGCGTGTGCAGCGGATTTCGAACACCTGAATCACCGATTGAAACGATTGTCCGACCAGGTCCTCCCCCTGCATCCATACTTGCTGACCCTCCCCACGAATGCGCCGTATCGCCTCCGCTCTGCCAACACCAATTGGGCCGTGGGACCGGGTCGGCCCTTCAGCCCGGACGAGGAGGACCTTCAGTACATGACCTTTCTCACCCATCACAACACCGATTCTCTGTTGGTCGCCGTGGGCGACTGGTCCGACGACTCGGGTCGCATGATGCTTGATCAACCCGCGGTGTCGAGGTCCACCGCCGAACTGCAGCCACCGCGAGAGAACGCGGTCAAGAAAAAGAAGAAGATCAGCTTGAACGATTACAAGTCCCAAAAGACCACAGGGGGGCGGTCCCATCTCCTTCCCCCGCAGTGCAGGATCAGAGGAGTCGCGAACATTCCAACGTCGACCGGCGCGACGTTACAGCGCGCGCTCCCAGAGCCGACCCGATCAAGAAGAATCTCGAAGTTCCCATGAAGCCCGACAAGCCTGAACCACGTCCGTCGAACTCCTCCAATCCCTCCAAACCCACCCCATTGGAGCCTCCCCCGCCGGCGAAGACGGCGAAGAAGCGGCCTCCAACGTCGGAGCCCGAGCCACAGACGACCGAGACCAACAAGGAACCCAACATGCAGACCTCCAAAAAGCCGCGATTATCACCCGAGAAAGGATCGCGCAAAGACACCCTCCCGACTAAAACATTACCAACCCTCCTCTCTCCCACACTTCCACCGTCACCGGCGCCGGACCCCGGATTTGCGCCGCGACTGCCTCGGTTACTTTCTCCGACTTTGCCTCCCGAGATTGAAAAGGAGCTCGCCCAGCTCAAGGAAAATTCTCCCGGTGACATTTCTCCCAAGTGTGAGGTTCCGGCCACGAAGACAAAACGCGATGAGCTTACTCACGCGCAAACACCTACATCGTTGGTCAGCAGTAGCAATTCCACGACGCAGAGCAGCCGTGCGAATAGGACAATTAAAGATATAGATCGTGGCTCGGGGCGGTCGTCGGCCATAGTGAAATTGCGCTATGGACGGCTCAATCGAAAACGAGTGGACAGTCTGCTCAGACTTTCTGGTAAAAGGAAAGCACAGCGTGTCAACTCGCCCTCGGCTCACGATGCCGATGCTGACGAGGCCCGTCAGGCGGAGAGGACGAAGGCTCCGGAACCTGCCCGCGGAGGAGGAGCAGGAGGAGGAGCAGGAGGAGGAGCAGGAGGAGGAGCAGCTCCAGCCGAACGAACAAAATCCAAAATCAAGCACGAAGCAGACGAGCCGACGCCGAGCTCCACGAGCGTGCATGCTGCTCGCACAAAGGAAACGAAGCAATCAATTGAGAGGCCCCACTTGTCGGTGCCGGATAGGTCCAGGGTGACCTCTTCTACTACAGTGAAAGATACAAAGGCAGCTCCCGCAAGCCGTCGGAATGAATTGCTCGATGTTGCCGACAACAAGACGCCTGCGACGCAGGTTTCACGGCGACCTTCAACCGATCCAGCGATAAAGGGATCTCCCGCTCAACCAGACCGTTCACGAAACCATGAGCGACGAGAGCAAGAGCGACGAGGATGGCAGGAAGATTTCAAGACGTTCACGAAAATGGGCCGGGAACTGAAACACGCCGCTGATCGATTCAACAGTGGACCCTCAACGGCGGATGAGAAACTGGCTGTTGTTACTGCCATTGAAGCCGTCATGTGTTTTGTTCTCGCTTTCGTCGCCGATGACCAAGGCAAGGCGCTTTTCCGGCAAAGCGTAGATTCGTCCACATGGCGATCCATCATTGCATATTGGCGCGTTGTCTACAAGAACAGCTCCTCCTTCCCGGTGCTACAAAGTCTATGCCAACTTCTAGGCGCAGTTTCCTATGACACCATCCACGCCTTGGACTTGGAACGTCTTGCCGTGACTCCAATCCCAGGAGAACAAGAGCCCGTTCCCACACCTGGCAGTGACGGAAATGGAGTCTTGACTGACGACAGCGCCAGCAAAAAGAGCTATAAAGAATTTGTCGAATTGAAGGCTCGTCTTCCTGAATACTTTCGAGAATCACAGAAGCTTTGGCTGGACGCGTCTCGAGGTCTTTCAGAAGACATGCTGAGTCGGGACTTTCCATTAACTTGGGCTCGTCGCTGTCATCGGCATGCGGAACGCGGGAAGACCTCGTTCCGCGCGGGCCACTACTCCGGAGATTATTACCTACCCTTTGGAGCGGTCACGCCTCCTATAGAAGTTGTTCGATTCGGCTCGATTCTTTTGAAAGAATGGTGTACACGTGAAGGAGTCGACTGGCAAGGTCGACTGAAACTTTGAGCTATATTTGCTTGAACGGACGGGCATCTGTTCCATTTCTCACATGAAGTGAGAACTATCCCCGATTCGTTTTTTGTTTTTCAATTACGAGTGAAAACTTGTTTTTACAGTTCTGCTTGTCTTTGCATGATACCTCATCTCTTGCAATTCATTTTTATGTGATTTTCTCTTCACTTGTGATTTTGGCGAAAAGATTCCCATTTGAAGTGGCTGTCTGCTTCTTAAGCCTTTCTGTCATCCTTTCTTTTCTTCATTTTTACTTCGTTTCTCTTTTCTTTCTTGTCCTTTCCTCTCCGAATGAAGCGATATGATTTTGCACATCGGGTGTGGTTTTTTTTTTGGGAATGATATGATACCTTCACGGATGAGTACTTGGTACCCTCTGCAATTGAATTCTTCTTCTCTCTTCCTTCCAGCTTTCAGATACCTTCCGGTCCTTATATTCGACTCCGTCCTCCCTCCATATCCTCGAAGGGACGTCAAGAGCGGCCTGGATCTTACCCGATGTCACTTCGATCGGAGGTTATCGCGAACCCTTTTGCAACCTTTTCACTCGGGTTGAATATCGCTTTCAAGTACATCTCCTTCACCCTGACGTTTTCCTTGTTACTATCGTTCGCCCCCATCTCCGGCCCTAACGTTCCCCCGATTACTCCCTCCTCCACTTGGCTCCGTGCCCTCAACTCACACTGACACTCTACCTTTCCGTTCTTCAACCGTCATGATACCAATGAGTCTCTCAATGACGATTCGCCCCTTTTTGTTCTTCCCAGTTTTCCTACATTCTCGTTATACTATTATAACATGACATAATAATTCTAATCGAATGATTATCATCGCAATCCGACGGCAGTAGGATCTTCTTTTGCGCCCGCCCTTGTCCGAGGGAATGAGTACTTACGGACATAGTATGTCTTGTTTCGAGGAGGTAGGTAGGTATGCTCCACGGTATGGTCCAAGATCCCCTGCCGGATGCTATAGGTAGTCGTGTTCAACAGGATGCGCCGCGCTTGATGTGTACTTTGGCCTGGAGATCTCGTCGTCTCTCGTTAGGTTGGGCTGATAATGCATGGCGAGCAATCCTTGTTAGATAGCGAGAAGATTTTGGTTGGAAGCTTGAGGGTAGACGTCATGTAAGTAGAAATAAAGACGAATATATAGTATTCCAAAAACTAATCAGATCAAAGTATATAGGGACCCTTGTCCTCGCTTTAGAAAAATCATGAGGAAAAAAAGAAGCGCAATTGCCCAGTTAAAACACCAGAAGCAAAAACCAAGATAATTATGTCTGCAACTGCACCTGCACCCGCACCTGCGCCTGAACATCCAGAGGGTGGAAAAGATGTGCGAAACGGGATAATGGGGAAATCTGGCTCCGCGACTCCGAGTACCGAAAATGAAAGTAGAAAATAATTGCCGCGCTCGTTGACGCCAAAGCTCAGAGTCGTAGGGGTTGATTGGTTTGTTGATCTAGAATGGAAACAAGAAGAAGCAGGAAACGGGGATGAAGAGAGGCAAAAGAGCACACATAGAGACAAAAGCCCACTGCTCCTTCCATATTCCGCTCACAACTGAACCGCCTAACGCAATGCCACCTCCCGCACAGTCGGAAGTTGCACGCTGCGTGAATGATATAGAAATGGATCAGACATTCTCGGGGCCGTAGTCACGACGAAAGTCTGAATTCGAATCCCCGAACAACCATCCCGCCTCGCGACAATACCGAGCCTCTCGGCCATATACCCCCACCTCACTGGCCCAGCATATGACAGCTGCGTCCACGATGTCGGCAATCACGCTTTCGGTCGCACCCAGGATACTCCATCCGATGGTTGCGGCGATCAGACCGACCACGTAGGCGTATACGCTACCCCGAAAGGTCCCCGCCGTGTCCAAGCTTCGTGCGGTAGTCACCCATCCGCCAAAACCAAGGGCAAGAGACATCATGAAACGGGTGGCATGTAGAATAAGTTTGGAGAGACGGTAGGAAATAAGTGAGGGGGAAGGTCCCAGGGAATGCGAGTAAGCGCGTGGATGGAACGAGGTTGTTGTCGAGGCGGTGGCAGAGGGAGCGAGAAGTGTCATTTGGCTGAGACCACGAGCAGATGCGCCCAGAGCTTCGGAGTGGATAGCGGCATATGTGAGGGATAAAGGGTTGGTGAGATATGCAATGGGCGAGGGCACAAGGGAGTATGCGAACAGGCTAATAATGGACGATAATCGACTAGGCAGGATGATGAGAGGGAGGCGAATAAGAAGACTCAATAGCCGTGATAGACTGATTGTTCCAAACAGAGTGGTCGTAGCATGCACGATAGCTGCTTGGACGATTTGTCGCGAGGTGGGTGCCGGGCTTGCAAGACGGTGAAAGTACCATTGACTCACAGTGGCTGCTGTCACTGCGCGCTGAACGCCAGCGATAACACCGATGGACCAGAGATAGATGAGTACGAAGAACGCGCCAAGCCACCAACTGCTGAGATCAATGATAAAGGACCTCGACCCTGACAGATGTCCACCCAGAAATACCCGAGTGAACATGAGCATCCAGATCCATGTCCAGGACACCACGCAGGCGAGAATGACAAGACCCAGAGCCAAGAGCTCTGGGTTCGCAGCGAGGATCCGGCAGGCGAATTCCAGTATTCCGACTGCTTTGCCAATGGACTGTCGCCCCCGGAGCACGTTGTATATCCATAGACTCGCCAGTACAAACGGCACCAATGAGCCCCATCGCATGACTTTATCTTGAAGGCCTTCCCCGTGCCATGCGCCCTTGAAGCTCGAGATGAATGGGTATAATGAAGATGAGTAGAGAATGACAGGCACCGCAATCACAATCAAGTAGACCAAAGCTCGCACATATGATCGCAACAGTGCCAGCCAGACTAGGGAAACGAAAACCGACACTAGCGTATAGACACCGAGCAAAAAGTACGACCCTTGCACGGTGAAATAGATGGTGTCTCCCCATTTCGACTTGTCTCCGTTTGACGGAGTAGACGTATGCAGCCATACCAAGAATGCAGTCGCCAACAGGCCGGCCAGTGCAATCAGGAATAGTTGACCCCAGAATGCATCATGCACGATCGTCTCAGACATAAGCGGGGGTAACGAAGCTGGCACCGAGCTTTGGGAACTCGCCCGTCGAGGATCTTGCGCTTGCGATGTCAAAAATGGTTGAGTAGGACTCCCCGGATCATCGAAGCCGTACGAAGAATCATCATTAGCAGTAGATCTTCGTTCGCGAAACCGTTGAATGGGCGGCTCATTCCCGCCCATCTCAGATGGCGCCCGGTCAGTATCAGCAAGGCCACTTTGAACCGAATCATCCAGCCCGACATCTACCAAGTGACCTCGAGGTCTACTACCCCTGCTTCCAGCCCGGGATGTGTATTCCTCAGGTACATCACCCTCATCGGCCTCGTCCACAGTTCCTATTCGAGAATGCTTAGGAGCAGGTATACTCTTCTCTCCGCGCCAGGAACTTTTTATCCCTTTCCCATTGCCGGGCCGCTCGTCATATCGAGAGTGACCCTCTTCGAGTTCTGCAGACTGAGCCGAATCCTCGTCATTCTCTGACGACTCCCTCAAGAGGCTGTCACCGAAATGTCGCCTTGATCGTTGCAACGCATAGAAATCCGCGATTTCACGCTCCCGTTCGGTCTCGTCGTCCTCTTCTCGAAATTCATCTGTCGCGCTGAAGAACAGAGGCGCCGGTTGGGCGGAAGCTCGAGAAGCAAATGGGAAATTGGAGACTTGTGAAGCGCCCGATCGATATGGGTCACCGCTCCTTAGATACGAGCGCGAGGATGGGTGTCGTGTGCTACCTTGCCGCTGGCTCGGAGGAGCCCTTCCTGTTCTTTGGAGCTCGTCTGGTCGGGAAACTAGTCGCGACTGTGACTGAGCGAGAAATCGAGATGCATCTGTAGGATGCCGAGAAGATGGTAGAGAGCAACGGTTAGTCGAGCTTCAAGATACACCTGAAGAGTGGTGATTTTGCGGTTGCGGAGACGGATTTTGCGGGCTTGAGTGTGGATGTCGGTGTGGGTATTTTGGGGGGGAAGAGCCCTTAAGTCTATACTTACACTCCGAGAACATGGCCCACTTTCGGGATAAATGAGCTCTAGATAGCGGAGGGGGGGGGGGGGGGGGGGGGGTTCTTATGGGTAGGCGGAGATCAGAGGAATTGTGATAGAGTGCGACATTCGTAAGATGTTATTTTGGAAAAGCACGGAGACAAAGGAGACCGAGTTACGCTGGCCAAGGTAGGGGGGGGCAAAGGAGTCTTGCACCGGAGGACGTGATAATCTCAGAAAATAAGTTTCGAAGAGAAGAGCAGTCGAATGGGATCTTCAGGTGATGCAAGCGTCATCTGCACAGGTCAGGCTCCCGTCTTCACCATACGGCAGGTCCAATGGATGACTCAGCAGCCAGCTGATAAGAGCTTCCCCGATCCTGGCGGTGGGCCGATAACAGACTCCCGCCGATAAGCAACTGTAAGGTTGTCCGTGATCACGTTCCACACCCCAGTCGGTGATCAACCTTGAATGTTGATTACCCACTCCCCATAACTTTCGTCTCCATGTCACAGCCATGGGATTACATTGCGAAGCTTGTCTGCATCGGTGATTCGGGCACGGGCAAGTCCAGTGTGAGTCTTATAAGAAACCCCCAAAACTCACCCGAGAGACTATCCGAAACATACGTTCCTTTCCTGGGAGGGCGGAACGCACGACCGCCCATGACTGTGATGACCTCACCTGGCTGACTGGACGACCTGCGCACTGTCGCACGTGCAAACTATAGCTCACGATTCGTCTCTGTGAGGGTCGATTCTCACCGACCCACGATGTCACCATCGGCGTCGAATTCGGATCCCGAATCGTCCCCGTAGGACCTCCTGCCTCGCATGAGCTCGGACTCGACGACGACGGCCACAGGAACAGCAATAAGAATAAAGCAGCCGCGGCAGAAGACCCGACACGGCCATCCTCCTCATCGTCTACTTCAGCCGGCAGCGGCGGCGGTGGCGGTCTCCCAACACCACCGCGGAAAAAGCCCCAGGACAAAGAAGCTCCAGTTCAAAAGCGAATGAAATTGTCCCTATGGGACACCGCCGGCCAAGAAACATACAAGTCGATCACGCGATCGTATTTCCGCGGCGCTTCAGGAGCGCTTCTCGTCTTCGACATTTCCCGCCGAGCCACCTTTGTATCCTGCACACAGTGGTTGCAAGATCTGCAACAGATTGCCGAGGATGGGATCGTGGTGATTCTTGTCGGAAACAAGACCGATCTTGCAGATTCCAGCTCAAGCGCCAATCAAAGACAGGTGACACAGGAGGAAGCCGAGGAATGGTGTCGATTAAACAATGTCGTTCGATACGTTGAGACGAGCGCTAAATCCGGCAACGGTGTGGAACGGGCGTTCTTGGAAGTCGCTGAGCGGATTTATCGGAATATTGAAGCCGGGAGATACGATCTGAACGACCGACGGAGTGGAGTTAAAGGGTATGGGGCCTCGGGAGGCGGTGGTGCTCACGCGGGTATACCTCGGACGGTCACGTTGGGAATGGATGATGCGATGCGTAAAGGCAGCGGATGGAGTGGTAATTGCTGTTGAGGACTAACAAGTCCTTCCTCTCAAATATCGCGAAGCGGATCAGGGCCCCCCGATGAGTGGTCATGTGCTTCACTGTCCGAACACCAACCTACGCATTCTTGATGTAAGAAAATTGTACATAATTTGAAATGCTTTGCGGACCAAGAAGCAGCAGTGATGCGAGAGAGGATCTTTAATCTAATGATTTTTACAAGGACATAAGACCATGAGGGGAGGAAAGCAACAGATGCGTCTTTTCTGGGAATCATGTACCATCTGTCTTGATTCCGTCAACGCACCATCGAGCTATAACATTTTGGCAGAGGGCCTCGAGGTGATACAGCAACAAAATGACTCAAACAAAGCTCAAATGACACCTCAATATGATAGCTGAAACCTCCAAAACATGAGACAAGTTTCCCTTCACCTGAGGTGGCGCCCCTAGTTGGAGATCTTCCATCCAGGCAGCCAGCGCAGATGAGCCCACTGTGAGCTATCTCCTTCCATACCGAAGACGATAGCACGGAAATAAACGAAAAGACCGATAGTGACGGCATAGAGGAGGCCATACACGGCCGCGGAAACCATGTGGTTGATCCGACGGGTCACCCAGTCGACGCAGAATCCAAAGACGATGATCGCGTAATAGAGGGCGGGGTAGTAGTGGTGGACGTAGGTTACGCGGGCCATGACAATGAAAGGAATGTAGTGCAACACCCAACCGATGGCTGGGTAGATGCCAGAGTAATGGATGTGGTCAATGTCCTGCTGGCTCAGCTCGGTGTATCCACGCTGCCAGCGGAGAAGATACCAGACAAAGAGCAGGCCGAAAGAAACGAGACCAGCAGTACTTCCCCAGTAGACAAGAGGGTTACCGAGGAGGTAGTACTTGACAACGCCATCATCCCAAGAACACATGCGAAGACCGACGTTGAGAATCGGCCATTGCCAGAACTGGGAAGCCAGATCGTCCTGCTTGTCAGGATCGGGGACAAGAGCGTTGTTGGATGTCATCATGGCAACGTTGAGGTGGATGAAGTCCTTGAAGAAGGGCGACTTGTAGGAACCAGGATCACCAGGGGGCACTTGAAATGACAGGTCAGTTTTGAATGAAGTAACAAGACGCGGAAATTGCGCCAAAAAAGAAAAAAGAAAAAAGAAACTTACAGCGCTCGTTGGTGTGCGACTCGACGTTCCAATGGGTGTACACATCCCGAGGCTTGTTCTCCTTAACACAGGTAGTCTCGATCTGCTTGAAACCCCACTGCGGCAAGTTGACATTCCCGGCTCGCAGATAGCAGCCCAGGGCTGGGTGACGGAGACGGAAAGCGGTGGTCAGAGTACGAATTTTGGAACGATCGCGAGAAGCCGCGTCGTTAACGACCTCCACCTGCCAGTGGTCCTTGTCATCGCCAACGGTGATGTTACCGTAGCAGGAGACTTCCCAGTGAGACTTGGTGACAGGAGCAGCAACAGCGTGAGAATGGAGATTACGACCGGTTGAGCCATGAATCAGGCGAATGACATCGCCGTCACCAACGTACTTCAATTCGCCCTCGGGGTTAAACTCGGGCTCATTGCGGTTAGGGTAGATAAACCAGTCGTTGTTGGCATCCTTGTGGTGGTAGCAGGTGACCTGCTGCTGGTTGGATCCCTCGGGGTAGGTCTGGACGTGGGAGTGCAACAGGCCACCACCGTAGCCCATATTTTTGATAGTCACACGAGATCCGTGAACCAGCTCAAGAGGGCTGTCTCTGCCAACTTCGGTACCACCCAGATTTGCCTGGAAGAGCGAGCTCATCTGGGCATCACCGGGACCAGTGTTTGACAGGACAGTGAAATGCAGGTAGAAAGAGAACATATAAACCAGCACAGGAATCACGATCAAGCCCCCAACGCGGGCGAAAAGGTGCTTGGCCAGCAGGGTCTATAGTCGTATCAATTAGCGGCTGCATTACATGCCTATACTGTATGGATTGTTTCCGAGGGTATGACACTTACGGGTGGCATTTTCACATCGCCAAACTTGTTCCAGAGATCCTCAGCGGTGTAAAGTCCCACAACAGCAGTGCAGAAGAAGCCAACCCACTTCACACTGCAGACACAGCCAATGCTGAATCCAGTCAGGCACAGCCAGAGCCACCACTCCGGGGAGAAGCTGACCCGCTGCAGGCGGTGGAATCGAGCCCAACACAACATCGTGGTGAATGTGAAGCAGAGCAGCATCGAGTCCAGGAGGATGAAGCGGGAGATAGTCGCGTAAGAGTTCTCGCACAGCACCATCAAAGTGATCAGCCAGACGGTAGCCCGGCGGAAATTCAGCTCGCGAGCGGTATAATAGGCAAGAGGCACACACACAACGCCAAACATAGCATTGAAGGCGCGCATAAAGGTGTAATCAACATCTTCCGGGTACTTCTCACCGGACTTGAACTCAAAGGAGCCATTGTATCCGGCGAGATAGCCGGAGAGGCCGACGAGCATCTTTCCGAGAGGCGGGTGGACATCGAAGTAGAATTCGCGCTTGAGGTAATGGGATCCAAATTTTCCGAAGCTATACACAATATACAGTCAGTCTCTGGCTTGGAGCGCAATTACATGCGCACAACTCGTTGGATGTCCATACTGAGCTTCATCCCAAGTGACGATATTTGAGCGACCAATCTGATACAACCGCGTGAACAAGGCCAAGGCTGTAAAGATGACAGGGGCAATGATCGGTTCCCAGCTGCAGAGGACATGGAGCAAAGATGGAGACTGAATGTTTCGCAAGATCGCCCGTTAGTATAGCTCCCAAGTCCTTCACTGGTCCGTGGGGCGCGGATCGGCTGCTGACGTACCTGGCTCTGCTTTTTGTTCTTCTTCACGTCAGGTTCGACCGTGAACAAAGTGGTTGTGGAGTCTTTGCTAGAGTTAGGGACGTTTCGCCGACGCAGATCGGCGTCGAGCTTGGCGCCCGTGCTGGTAGCAGCGTCCATATCGAACTGCAAGACCCGAACGGGCTCGGGGAGAAGTGAAGAAGAAAAAGAAGAAGAAGGGAGGGAAGTGTCAAGAGGGTCAATTGTCAAAGACGAGAATGATGGATCGGCGCTTTATCCGGCGGGTGGATGGCGATCGGTGGTCGGTGGTTGTTCCCAAAGTCGATTGGTAAAGGTACAGACCAACGTGGTCGGATGTCGTAACGAGAGTGAGCGGAGGGACAAGGGGGTTTAAAAATTCATAGCGACCTGAAGTCGTTGGGGAGAGAAAACAGCTCAATCACTGATATCAAAAGTTACTTGAATAAAGGACAAAATGGAACAAAGCCGACACGAGTTTCAGAAAGGAAAGAAGAAGAAGAGTAGTACGAAGGATACGGGGGTGCCGCAAGTCAAGAAGGCGAGCTGGCCAGATGTCCAGGAGGAGTTCCAACTTCCCGTACTTTGAGTAAACAGACAGATGACCCACTCGTCCGTTTTGGCCCCCTCTCATCCCTCCAGACCCGAGGAGCCGTTTTCGGGTGCGCTTTCAGATCGTGATGGAAGGCCCTTCAAGAAGAATAGCTTGTCGGAGATTATGAGCGCTCGAAGATTGAAAGATGATGTTTCTCTGCAACATCCAATGGGTTAGTGATTGACGCTGGTGGTATCGGTACCTACTACGAGACTCGCTTGCTCCAGTACTTGGTTCGCTCAGCTTGCGCGTGTCGGCATCTGCAAAACAGCAATACACAAGTTAATAGTAGACTGTGAGTACATTTAACCTCGCAAGAAGTATTCTCCAACCACAGGGATTCGATGACTAGCTATCAGATCTAACAACGAATCAATCCTATCACTTGTCTGCAGCGACTCAGCCAGACCATCATCGACTACAACTTCCCCCAAGGTCTGTTCCAAAGACACAAGCGTGGCAAATCGCGGCCCCTTCTATACCCAACGAGAATGGAAACATGTACGAGGTATCACAAAATGCCTAGCCACACCCTTCAAGGTGAACAGTGTATACAATCAACATGCAAGAAGGGATTGGATCAACATATATACACCTGCTAGGAAACGCGGAGACGGGAAACGAAAAAAAGAACAAAATGGGCAAACAATCGAACTAGTAAAGACAAAAAGGAGACAAAAGAAGCATCAGAGACGTTATGACGCAAGGGTGTGTATCAGGAGGAACGCAAAGGAGAACACCAGAATGAAAGCAGAGAATCGGGGAGAGAGCAAGGGACGGGACCAGGGACGGCTTGAAATGAAGTGAAACAGGCACCGCAGGACCTGGCGACTCAATCCCGATCCCCTTGTGTTCAATTCTGATGGTTTTACTCATCGTCGGCTTGGTCCAAACGACGATACTGGCTCGGATTGTTCGAGCTGGTACTGCCTCCGCGATGGCGGTTGACCATGTTGGAGATCCAGCCTCCAATGCCCTCCCCACGATGGCTCCCGGCCTGCGATCCGGCTCGGCCAGACTTGTTGTAGCCATCGCCACTCATGGTGGGGGGATCGATATCCAACCCGGGAATAGCACTGTCGGCGCCAAGTTGGCCATAAGGCCGGCGGATGTCGAGCGAGGGGACGGGTGAGCCACCGCCGATCAACGAGCCTCGCTCAGCATCGGTGACGGGCGTAGGCATGGCGGTGGTAGCATCACCGAACAGAACATTCATGTCTTCAAGACGAACACCGCTCGTCTCGGGGTAAAGGAAGTAAACTGTGGAGAACAAATCAGGTACGGTTCTTCCGATGCAAGTATAAAAGTCTACGGGCTTTCATTGGGAGAGTGCAAGTGACAGAAATGCTTACCGACAACGAAACTGCACGCGCAGAAGAAGGCGTGGAGCAGATACAATCGCCATCCGATCAGACCTTGCAGGATCGGAGTCAATTCTCCAACGAGCCAGTTGAAGGCCCAGTTGCTGGCGGTACTAAGACTGGCACCCTTGGCGCGAATGCTCAGAGGGAGAATCTCGGGAGGGTAGAGCCAGGGAATCGGTCCCCATGACGCACCAAAAGCGGCATTATAGACCATCACGAAGATCACGGTCAATGTCGGCGTGGCCTTGATATCAATGTGGATGAAGTAGGAGATCAGAGACAGGGAAATCATCATAGCCACTGCACCGGAAAGCAGGATAGGCCGACGACCCCATTTATCCACCAAGTACCACGGCGGCACTGTCGACAGCAGGTAGCTGATTCCGTTGATACCGGTCATCAAGATAGCCGACCGGCCTTCCCACCCAGCCGATTCGAAGACCAACGGCGCATAGTACGAGATGACATTGATACCGTTCAATTGAGCCAAAGCCTGTGCCGACATAGCAATGAAGACGCGCTTCGAGTACCGCTTGAACATGTCACTGTAGGATCGTTCACCCTCTTGTCGCTGCAAAAGCACGTTCATCTTGATCTCGCGGTATTCTTGCCGCGCCTTGTCGTTGTGAATATCACCCTCACCGTAAAGGTTGGCAATGACGACCATGCCTTCTTCGTCATGGTCATTATCGAGAAGCCATCTACATTGGGCCGAACGATAGGACGATGTCAGCCAATGGCCCAAGTGTTTTCCAACTAAGTCAATGCAGACGTGAGGTTCCAGTGTACTTACCGAGGAGATTCGCAAATGATCAGGCTACCGAGGCCCAACAAAGCGCCCATGATACATTGGCACAGTAAGGGCAGACGCCATGAAATGTCCGACTCGATGAAACTGCAAAAGTAGTCGACCCAGACACTGGTCGCGTATCCGGCGATGTTTCCAGTGAATTCAATACAGGCCAATTTTCCACGATTATGGGGAGGCTGGTGGGAGTCCCAATGCGTTAGCAGTAGGCCAGAAAGGCACAATTCGCGGGGTCTGAGGTTGCACAAAAGTTCCATACCGAGATTTCCGACTGATACACAGGCACAATGGTGGACAGCGCACCGACGCCGAGACCAGCCACGACCCGGCCCGCCATCATCATGGGCATGTTCAAAGCAAAGGTCTGCAAGCCGCCGCCAACGAAGAACACGGCGGAGCCATAGAGAATTGTCCGGCGACGACCGATGACATCACCGATGCGGCCTACTAACAAAGAAGAGATAAAGGCACCGACTTCGAGGATAGCCACGACAGTGCCAATTGTGGCTCGCGACGGTTGATCAAAGTAGTCTCGGAAATAATGTCCCCTGCCACGGAGGTTTCAGTTTTCATTGCACAATGATTGAAGGTCCGGGTATTTGGCGGCAGAGGCAAGGGTAAGGGCGCGGTGGGCAACTAACGTGATAATTCCGGACATAACACCTTGGTCATAGCCAAAGAGAAAGACGCCTAGTGATACGAATACACTCGTGAAGTACCTACAAGACGCAACGGCCGGTCGAGTTAGTCAATTGGGGCTCCATGGAACTCCTTGTCGCATCAGGGTGAACGAGAGGAGCGTGAAAAGCAGAGATAGATTCAGGCACCGGTCACGGCTGTCCTTTTCGTTCGCTCTCTCTCTTTCTTTCTCTCTCTCTCTTCCTCCCTGCGTGAGTGTGTGGTGGAGAACACGCCTACTTACAACAACGGTTTACCCACTAGCCCCCGGTCGAGGATTGGGCATTTTGCCCATTGCGAGGCGACATGATGGCCGCTAAGATACGCTCGGCCTTGGGGACCCGACGAGGCGGCGGGTTGGGGATGGGAATCTGCTCCTTTTCCGGGTCGAGGGAATGACGAGTAAATTCAGCGTCGGGCGCGTAGTGCACTCTCTTGGAGGGGTTCCCTCTCCCTCGTCGAACCCGATGCTCGAGTGACTGGCGAAATGAGCCCTTTAATGGATCCTCCTCGGCGAGCTGTTCGGCGAGATCTCCCGTATCTGACCAGATCGAGAAACCAGACTCGCCGGAGCGAGTTGAAGAGTGCGAGCGACGACTATCCTTTTCACTGGCCGAGTCCAGCGCCGTGACCTGGGATGAAGAGTTGCCGAGGGTTCGGAGGGGTATGGCGCGTGGGGAGGTTGATGAAGGAATGTTGGCGGTGGGCGGGCTGATGATACCAGCCCTCGGGAACCCCAGATCGACCGTCCTCTTCTTGTTGGGGGATGGTTTTTACCTCTGATGAATTCTTCTTGGTCACACCTTGCTTGATTCCTTTTCTTTTTTTTCTCTTTTTTTTCTTCCTTTTGGTGCTCTCTGGGTGTACTGCCCTTTTCGCTATTGGGGGTAGAGTAAATTAAAAGAAAATGTAAATTATGGTGGTTTGCTCAACATGCGCGAATCAGCATGCAGACTCGAGGGGGACAGAGAATGGATATTGAGAAGCACGAGTGACGCCCTCACAGGTCGTGTCTCTTTTTTCTCGCTCTCTCTCTCTCTGTCGCGCTCCGTCTTGGGCCTCAATCAGGAGTCGGGACGCGGAATCGAGGAGAGTGTCAGCCAGGGTGAGGACAAGTGGACTGGTCCAGTACTCAGCCTGAGTCCACCGTATAGTCGTCTCACTGGTAGTCCAGGCAGTTCGTCGCTCGGTCGAGGAGTCAGGTAGGACAAGTCAAGGAGGAGCTCTCTCCCCAGCGTCACCGGGTCGGATCAACCAGAAGTGGGAACCTGCCACGACCCCCTTTCAGCCAAAAGAAAGTCTGACTAGCGACGCCACGCGCACGCTGCAAAGCGGTCACGGCAGGCAATTGAGGTGCTAGTCACGCGCGATCGACGCAAGATGACGGCACGTCTGCAGGAGAGGAATGGGGGACTGGAGTATGGCAGGTGGTTGGAGAACGGATGATGGAGGCGGTGGTGGTGGTTGGGAGACGAAGGGTGAAAGCGGAGCACTTAGATGGTCAGGTGGAAGAAAGCGGAGGGGAGACGACTTTTAGATAGTAGCACTCGCGAGGAAGATAGGCCAGCGGGACAATTGCGCGTTACCAACTTGTGTACAAAAATGACACGCAGGGACCGCGTCGTCATGGGTCAGTCGTAGCTGGGGGATTTGGCTGGTGATGAAGAGAAATGGTCAGGGATGAAAGAGGAGTTGCTCGGCGTGGTTTTACAGTAGCAATATTGAATGAATGGGGTCTACAATCTCGTGGATCTACTAGGTGAGGAGGACCTAGGTACCTGCCTGCGATATTACGACCGTGCCAGAAAAACGGTACCAGGGAACATACGAATGGGGCCAGATGGAAATGGAAGTTGGGCAGCCGCCGCGGAAGAGACTTGGTTGGATGGAGAGAGAATGGGGGAGGCGTGATGGATGAGGCTAAAAAGCCCGGATTGAGAGTACCGAGAGAGACCGCATGTGGTCGAGGTCAAGGCGGCTACTCGTAGGTACCTAGTAAAGTACGTAAGAGGAGGGTACCTCAGCTGACTCGAAAAGTGCACCGAGTTACCAACCACATGGGATTCCTCACTGGGGAGTACAAGCTGATCTTGTCACTCTAGGACGATCAAAGGAGTACTCCTACGGCACCAGGTCAAATCAGGTAGCTAACAACCTACTGGTACGGTAGAACCTCCCTCTAACCTACTAGGTTAGTAGGTACTCCTACTACTACGGCTATGGCAGATTCAGGGCCAGCTCATGGCAAGTGCACAGGGTTGACAAGCGTCTCCATAGTAGTCATACTACCTGCTCCCGCACTGAATGCCAATTGTTCACAAACAATCGCTGCCAGCACCAGCTACCGACCACCTACCTGGTGTTCACTACAAGACAAGAAGTCAACTGCTCACGTCGACTTGTCCAAGATGGTAGCTCGATCAGGTGATTGGATCTCCGGGGGAAAGCTTGGAGTCCACTGCGGAGCTGCTCCACACCAGCCAGAGGCCTCAGCGCCGCCCGTTGATGACGAAGGCGGATGACGGATGACGGATGAGCTCTAATGAAGGAGGACACCCAATGGAGTCGATGATTGCATTGCAAAGACTTCCTCCACTTGAGCTCAGCGGAGGGAGGGTGACGGGATGCTTACATGACATCTTGACATTTGTTGATTACCTAACTAGTTCCTGCGACGGCTGAGGAGTTACCGTACGCAGGGTCAATTATATCTAAGTACAAGACATGCTCATGAAGGCTTATTAACTTCCTGTAGATGTACGTATGCATATCAAATTGTTTTGGAACGAAGATAACTTTCCGGCTCGTATTCCATTCCGAGCCGTGCGGGTACAGCACGTGTCTGACTCTGCGTAGTGTGCGCATAGCCGCATGCTGTGCTACCCGGAGAACTCGAAGTAGACGGAGCAATCGATCTTATACCACAGTACCATACGAGTGTTCCTAGGGGTCCCTCCCCCTCGGAAGGGACTACGGAGTGAAGCAACTGCTATAATCAATCTGTTGACTGCCGTCGCAATGCTTGATGTTCTACGCTGCCCGTAATTGACGGGAATGCCGGACGTTATGGGCATTGGCAAAGCCGAGAAAGTCACCTGATTTTAGCAGATCACATGATTCAACACATCTCGACCGCCACGAACAGCGAATCAGAGGAGGAATATTCTGCCGGAAGTGAAATGAAGCGAATAGTAACGTCGCTTCAAAATAAAAGCCACGTGATCAATCACCTGATATCCACACAACACCGCCCCCACCACCCAATCAGACAGCAATGATTCTGCCGGAAGTGAGATTCGGCCCTATTATTATTGTAGCGTCGCTTCGCTCCGCAATCGCAGTACATTTAGTGCAATAATTGTACAACTCGATCTCACGGTGGTCTCACCTTTACGTTCAACCCCGCCGGCCCTCCCCCGGCGCCAAGTTTAGCCCTCGGATGCCGGCAATCTCCCCCGTGGATCACGTTGGCATTACATAAACAACATCATCTGCCGCGGCCCGGGGGGTTCATGTCAACCTTGGACAAGGATGAGACTCTCGCGTGGCCTCGACTTGCCCGATCGAGCATAGTACTTGAACGCTTGGCTCGAGGCGGGAAGTCTGTTCCAGGGCCAAGAAAGAACTTGAACATCGACTAAGCCTCGTGGTGCGCGACATGGACACGCGAGAGAAAATAAAGACGTGTATGATGGGGAATAGTACTCTGCTTGGACTCGTGCAGTATATGGAACCGTCTATGTGGATATTGGCAAATAGAATATCGCTCAAGTCTATACATGGAAAATACAACAACGAATGACCGGTGACAGGGAACAATGTATGTTCGAACTCACAACAAACACCGATCAAAGTCATGCCCAAGATGTGCCCAGCTTCCTCCGTAGGTCAGATGAAGGAAGATGATGATCGCTGAAACAAGGGATATCAAAGCGCAAGTCATGCAAATCCGCAAAGACTAATTCAACAAAATGTCATATCCGTCTTTCTGGATATGGACCGCGTCCGCCAGGCTCGCGTATCGACGACGCACCAACTCAAAGATCACCAGGCCCGCGCTGGTGCTGGGTACTTGGCGCAGTGCACTCCCCGCAAAGCCCCGGTAGAGCCATGCGCGCAACCCGCCGGCCCGTGCAGCCTTGCGCCGGATGCGTTTGAATGTCTCTTGGTACGCGTGATAGTAGATCCGCAGCATCTGCCGCCGCGAGGGATCCATGCTCGCTTGAGAATCCAGGTACTCCAGTCGGCCCAGGTGCAAATCCTGAACCCGGCCAATCGGATGCTGGATCGTCTGCTGAGCCACCGAGGCGAAGACGCCTGCCATCATGAGGAAGCATGGTTCCAAGGCGTAGTGCGGCTTGATGAGAGGCACGCCGCGATCACTTGATCCGGGGGAGGGAAGCCGATCCACCGTCTCTGCACGCAGCGCACCGTAATACCAGGTGACAAAGGAATAGTAAGACTGTGACTTGACATATTCAAACGTGGAGAAGAAGATGGCATAGCCGAACGAGTCTCGTAGGAACGATAGACTCCATCCGGCGAAGATTCCTCGTACACCGATCTGTTTAAGCTTCTGGTGTCCGTAGTGCCACATGCTGCGGTATTGTCCACTCAACATGTCACTGGTTTGAAGTCGAACCTGCAATGCGTCTAGCGGAGCAGCAATGATGGACTGAATGGTGCCGGCTGTGAAACCGGCGGCAAACGTCGCAGAGGGGGAGCAGGTGGCCAGACTCGTTTAGCACCTTGCGAAACTGGTTCATGCAAAGCACCAAGAACTTGCAGGTAGGATGTGTATAGGACTGCACCGACTCTAGAGATGCGAACCGGGAAAAAAACAATCGAGAACCCATCAATTAGCCATGCGCGCCGGACGAACCACAACGTAGATTGAGCCGCTCGTAACTCACCCTGCATTTGCCATCAACGGCGGCAAGACTTGATTGGGAATGAACTGCCAGCCATAGGTTCTCACAGCATGCAGTAACAGCCCCGGTGTTGTGGTATGTAATGACCACTTTCCTTCTGCCACGCGAGGGTTCACAGCTCTAGCAAATGCCTAGGATTCGAACGACCCAGCGAGGGTCATAAATTAGCGACATAGTTCACGGACGCTACCATGGTAAAGGATCTCGCGATACCATATAACTAGGGGAAAGGTTAGTATAAGAAAACCGTGAGGCCTCTTGAGAAGGTCGATACTTTCGCGCATCTTGACTTACTCAACACGGGTGCGAAAGAACGCCTTGATCGGAGCCCGAAAGTAAAAAGCTACCATTTGCGCACTGAGTGCGCGAACACTGCCGGCGGAGACTCCGGTCGCCGCATCATTTCGCGGCTTGCGTCGAGTGGTTCCAGGATCACCAAGATGTGGTTCCAAAATGATCGAACTCATTCTATCGCTCGTTCAATGAACTGTGTTTCTCGCTTCGTTATCCTTCTGCTGGCCACCATCGGAAACGGCTGTCGCTCTTGATGTATATAGCACCCGCGGATGTTGTTGATCAATAATAAGCTCCGGTCACAGGTGGAAGCTGTCGGCGTGAAGGATAACCGGAGATCTCAGCGGGTACATAGTGAGTGAGAATATGGCCTGTCGCAGATGATGAAGCGATGAGAGCCGTAGCAAGCAAGAAGCCTAGCACAGTAAACACATGGACAAAAAGATGCGCCCAATGGCTCTAAATCATCTGAATGTCTAAATGAAGAATTGCGCTCAATATTCGGAGGCCGCCGCGCTAGTCCCAAAAGGGCAAAAGTCAAAAACGCGTTTTCGCGTCCGCCTCTCCTCTTCTCCAAAGGGCTTGACATCACCAGCGATCTCCCTTTTTCTTCTTACATATCCTCTCTTTCCTCCAACCACCCCCGGCGCATACGGTATCTCCAAACACTCGGTTCTCGAATCGCTAAACTTCATCCATTAGCACCGAAGTTTAATTCATCTGTCTCCGGCGCTCGGTCTCGCGATCACTGTGAGCAAGCTTTGCTTGCATCGAACTGCCAAAATGGCTGACAAGATTTCGATCGACAAAAAGACCTTCTTCAACCATCTTTCAAGCTTTTACGCATCATGGAAGGCTGACAAGCGATCTGGAAATGCGCTTTACGGTGGCGCTGAGTCGATCGTCATTCTGATGGGCAAGACTAAGAGCGACGAGAGCTCCTTCCAGAAGAACAATGCTATGCATGTAAGTTGAGGACGCACGCATCAGCATTCCTCACTTCCTCTGGATGTATCGCGCGGTTCGAATGGAGAATGGACATCGTCAAGCTGACACTTGTGACCTTCTACTAGTTCTGGCTCATGGGATATGAGTTTCCTGCAACGCTCTTCGTCTTGACAACCGAGGCCATCTACGTGGTCACTACGGCTAAGAAAGGTACTATTGCGCGCCTTTTACATCATACTCGGCGACAAGCTAATGAATGCGCTACGTAGCCGAGCTTCTCGAACCCTTGAAGAACGGAAAAATCCCGGTCGAGCTCCTGGTGACAACGAAGGACCCGGAAACGAAAACAAAGGCCTTTGAGAAGTGTATCGATGTTATCAAGGGCGCTGGAGTGAGTTCTGGCCATCAAGTTACATCGATCGGGAACCTGTAGACACAGATGACAGCTAACCATGATTTGCCGATCATAGACGAAAGTCGGCACGTTGCCCAAGGACACCACAACCGGCCCCTTTGCCGACGATTGGAAGCGAGCGTTTTCAGAGATTTCCAAGGATGTGGAGGAAGTCGACATCACACCCGCACTTTCCAGCGCCTTTGCGATTAAGGATCCGGAAGAGCTTGTATGTCATGCTTTTGCCGTCGTCTTCCCAATTTTCACGCGGCGATTGTAGCTTTGCTGACTTTGCGCCTAGATTGCCATCCGCAACGCCTCCCGGGCTTGCAGTGGTCTGATGTCTGAATACTTCGTGGACGAGATGTCACGACTGCTCGACGAAGAAAAGCAAATCACTCACAAGGCCCTGGCAGCGAAAGTGGACGCCAAAATCGACGATGCCAAGTTCTTCAACAAACTCCCTCGTCTCCCGTCTGAATTTGATCCAGAACAAATTGATTGGGCTTATGGGCCAGTAGTCCAGAGCGGAGGCGCCTACGACCTGAAACTCACCGCGACCTCCGATGGCAACCACCTGAAGCCCGGCATCATCCTCTCTAGCTTCGGAATTCGATACAAGACCTACAACTCACTCATCGCACGTACCTATCTTGTCGATCCTAGCAAGTCGCAGGAGGCCAATTATGCGTTCCTCCTCAATCTCCACGACACGATCATGAAGGAGGTTCGGGATGGTGTTGTGGCCAAGGAGCTCTACAACAAGGCTCTCGCCCTGGTCCGGTCCAAGAAACCCGAATTGGAGAATCATCTGACCAAGAACGTCGGTGCCGCCATTGGTATTGAACTCCGTGATTCCAACATGATCCTTAACGCCAAGAACAACCGGGTCCTGAAGAACGGTATGACCCTGGCCATTACCGTTGGCCTGACCGATGTGAAAGACACCGATTCCAAGTCCAAGGGCAACGATGTGTATTCTATGGTCATCACAGACACTGTGCGTGTCGGCGAGAGTGGACCGCATATCTTCACCAAGGACGCTGGAATTGACATGGACTCGGTCTCGTTCTACTTTGGGGACGAGGAAGAGCCCGAAAAGCCTGTCAAGGAAAAAAAGGAGGCCAAATCCAGTGCTATCGCAAGTCGAAATGTCACACGCACCAAATTGCGTGCCGAGCGGCCGACTCAAATCAACGAAGGTGCCGAGGCCCGTCGCCGGGAGCATCAGAAGGAGCTCGCCAATAAGAAGACCAAGGAAGGTCTGGACAGATTTGCGGGCACTACTGGAGACGAGAATGGTGTCGCAAAGAAGACGTTCAAGCGCTTTGAGTCTTACAAGCGTGATAACCAGCTACCCCCCAAGGTCAAGGATCTGATCATCTACGTTGATCACAAAGCCTCAACGGTCATCGTTCCGATTATGGGCAGACCAGTTCCCTTCCACATTAACACCATCAAGAACGCGAGCAAGAGCGACGAGGGTGAGTATGCATACCTTCGCATCAACTTCCTCTCTCCTGGACAGGGTGTTGGTCGTAAGGATGACCAGCCTTTCGAAGATCCTTCTGCACACTTTGTCCGCAATTTGACCTTGCGATCCAAGGACAATGACCGCCTTGCCCAAGTGGCACAAGACATTACCGAACTGCGCAAGAATGCATTGAGAAGGGAACAGGAGAAGAAGGAGCTGGAGGACGTGGTTGAGCAGGATAAGCTGATTGAAATTAGAAGTAAGTCAACTAAACTGCGTCCAGCGAAGAGAATTCATATAGACAAAACAGGATTAACCCTTTTGAATCAGATCGACGACCCGTCAAGCTTCCTGATGTTTACCTGCGTCCACCATTGGACGGAAAGCGTGTTCCTGGAGAGGTTGAAATTCATCAAAATGGTCTTCGATACATTTCACCGTTCCGCAGCGAACACGTGGACGTACTTTTCAGCAATGTGAAGCATCTTTTCTTCCAGCCTTGCGCTCACGAATTGATCGTTCTCATTCATGTACATCTTAAGACCCCGATTATGATCGGCAAGCGAAAGACGCGGGATGTGCAATTCTACCGCGAAGCTACCGAGATGCAGTTCGATGAAACCGGCAACCGCCGCCGCAAGCACCGATATGGTGATGAGGAGGAGTTCGAGGCTGAGCAGGAAGAACGACGACGCCGAGCTGCGCTGGACCGTGAGTTCAAGGCATTCGCCGAGAAGATCGCGGATGCTGGCAAGGACGAAGGCGTGGATGTCGATATTCCTTTCCGAGAGATTGGATTCACGGGTGTGCCCAACCGTTCCAATGTGCTGATCCAGCCCACTACGGATGCTCTTGTCCAGCTCACGGAGCCACCATTCATGGTAATCACACTCAATGAGATTGAGATTGCTCACTTGGAGCGAGTGCAGGTAAGTCTACAAGTATCCATCATTTCGTCTCCTTTGGAGGCAAATGGCACTGTCTGGTACGGCATACGCTTCGTTGCTAACTTGACCAATTACAGTTCGGTCTTAAAAATTTCGATCTCGTCTTTGTCTTCAAGGATTTCCACCGAGCCCCGGTCCATGTCAACACCATTCCCGTCGAGGCTTTGGAAGGTGTCAAGGACTGGTTGGACTCGGTTGACATTGCCTACACCGAGGGTCCGCTGAACCTGAACTGGACCACGATCATGAAGACTGTGGTCAGCGACCCATACGGTTTCTACGCCGATGGAGGCTGGTCATTCCTGGCTGCTGAATCGGACTCCGAGGGTTCCGACGAAGAGGAGGAGTCAGCCTTTGAGCTCTCCGAATCCGAGCTTGCCGCTGATGAGAGTTCCGAGGAAGATAGCGAGTACGATGAGGATGCTAGCGCCGACGGCAGTGAAGAGGATTTCAGTGGCGAGGACGAAGAAAGCGGCGAGGATTGGGATGAGTTGGAGAAGAAGGCAAAGCGCCAGGATAAAGAGGCGCGTATGGAAGAAGATGACCGTGGTACCAAGCGAAAGCGCTAGTAGATACGGTGCATAGTTATGGTAATGATTGGTGCGATACTTGAATCTACTCTTGAGCTCTCGCAAGGAGAGAGGACTGCTCCTACTTTTTTTTAATTTCTCTTTTTTTTCACGGCCTTCGTTCGGCCTGTCATGTCTTGATACAATCCTTTTTTTTTCCCTCTTGCGAACCTTTATCATTCACGCGAGAGCTTCATCGCCATCCTCGTCAAAACAGGTTGAGAGAATGTAACACATATAAGAAGATTGTTTTCTCCTTGAATCAACATTCAGTATCACGGGCTCGTCATCCATGACAACCTAACTGGACTAAGTGATTGTCACATGCTTGGACCTGGGCGGTCGACAAAGCAGGTACTGACTCACGGATATATTCCAGTGGAGTGATCAAACCCGATGATGGAGCGTCGATGGGATAACACGCGTCTTTCAGAAATAATGCATTTTGGAATAAAAAAAAAACGGCAAAAAGAAAAGAAAGAAAGAAAATGAATAAAAAGGAGGGTGAACTTGACTTACTTAGGAGCCGCGGGACTTGAACGGAAACACGTTCGATCATGGACAAGATCATAGGTATCAAACCCTAAGAATAGTGGAAGTCGGCCGATGACATCGGGGTTATCTTTTCCAGTAAACCTAACCTTTCTTTACCGACTTGCAGACCAACCGTACTGTAAATATCTCTATTCAGTATTTACACTAGGTTTGCCTTATAACCGTGCGTTGCCAGAGACCTAATTGATGAGCCCGGATGTATTCTTTTACCTCACCCGCGGACATCAACCTTGAACTTGCAAAGGGACAGACGAGTCGAACCAGTCGTGACATTTCGGGCTGCAAGTACCTATGTAACAGGAATATCTTTCTTGTTCTCACATCAGACCACGCAACTTATGCTTGTAGTAGAGAGACTGGGGCTTCAGACCGGTCATCTCATGTCTGTTCCACTTGATAGGGTGAGAAAGACCTGTCTTCGAAGGGATCCTGGGCTGTAGCTCCCAGAGGAGGAAGGGTGAGATTACGATCATGGTATCTGATATATCTATCCCTCGAATCTTGAGGATTCGAGTCCAGATTCGTAATGTTTACTGTCACTTTGTAAGCTTCGAGGTGTTCGGGAGTGGATAATGATTAGGCAGGCGGATACAGTTGGGTTGGGTGTTACTGATGTATAATGACTGTGTCACTGTAGTCTGTACTTATGACCCAGATGAGATACTTTTAGTCTTACGTGACCTGTCGAAGAGATTCTATTCCATGGATCCAGGATAAATCTCTGTGCTCTTCACGGGCTGGATAGAGACTGAGATACACGGGCAAAGTGCAAGGAGATACCAAGACGAGATACTGTATAGATTCTTCATCATGGTTGTATAAGCAGCATAGGTCCATTTACTAGTTGGAAGATCGAAACCTTTGTGTATTACACGAATTAAGCACCAGTGAACACTTTTAAGAATCCCCAATCCCCTTATAAATGAAAATAAGTGAAGTATACAGAAAGAACAATACATAAATAGATTATCCAGCCCCCAAGAAGGGACAACAACAGGCCCAGCCCGTCATTACCCGGCAAGCTAGAGCACAATATATCCAGCCCGTTATTACCTCCCTTCACCCCATGAGTCAAACAGACTGGATTCCACTCCATTTCGATAATCCAGCTCAAGCTCCCTCTCACTTCCCCTCCCTCATACTCCCCCACATACTCCTCATCCTCTCATTCTGCCCCGCCGTAAAACTCTCATAACACACATCCGACGAATAATCCATAAAATCGTGAATCGGGTCCGCACCCGGCAAATCCGGACACGAGTCCCTCGACGCCGGACATCCGCTTGTCGGTGAGGACTGCTGCGGCGTGTCAGATATGTAATCGCCCGGATCGTTCGGGTCGCACGTCTCGCCCTGGAACGTGTGCAGTAGTCCGTTCCAGTGGCCGATCTCGTGGATCGCCGTGCCGCCGCGGTTATACTGGTCCAGCGAGCCGCCGGACATGGCGGCCGCGAGGATGTTGCAGCCGTCTTTGATGTAGGCGGATCGCGGGCTTGTGGAGTTGATGTTTGGGTCCGGGAGGGTGCAGAAGCCGAGAACGCTGACGGCGAGGTCTTTTTTCTTGGAGGTGGAGGGTGATGGTGAGTTGGATGAGCCGCGCTGCTGCTTCTGCGGGGATTGTTGATGCTGGTGGGTTTTGGAGGAAAGTATGCGTGTGACTTGGCTGGGGGTGGCGTGGAGATCGGTTTGGAAGTAGACGTTGAGTGTGGAGTATGTGCCCTTTCGAAGAGCCTTTTTCATGCCCAGCTCGTCGTCGTTGCGAGCCCAGGCATCGTTGACATTGCGGGTGACTCCTTGGAGTCGATATGAGATTTGCGCATCTTGATATGCGGTCTGGAGAATGGCCAGCTGAGGCAAGGAGAGTATGGTTGTCAGCTTGTTGGTTCTGTCTCGTTTCATTTGCTTGTTTCTCACGAGAATGGAAACAGGTTCATGCAAATTGGGATCCTTACCTGAGCATCAACCATATCATCCGTCACCTGGTCACGCGCCGCAGAACTACTGACGATATGAAACCACGTATCGATTTCAATAGGGCCATCTCGTGCCGGAGACCCTTGATTCTTCACTTCATTGGTATGCACGCGCTGCACTGCGTTCAGAAACGAGGGTTCGGGGTCCTCTGTCGCGCAGATTCCACGCGTCTGAACATCCAGAGGTTTGCATTGTCCTTGAAGGAAGAATAGTGCTGCTGTGACGATGACAAGCAGGTAAGAGGAGTGAAAGACCATCTTTCTTTTTTGTTGGTCAATGAAATGACGAAAAAGAGTAGAATAAATAAACCTGAATCTTCGATGATACAATCCTGTTTGAATGACTGTATAGTTTCCGCTCTTTTAATGGCCGATGATCAAGTGAGGTTTGGATCTGTCGCATCAAGCCCCGTGAAGACCTTCTAAGGAATCAAACGAACGTATTTGATGAAAAGAGTGAATAAACGATTGGATATAATGAGTGACTGAATGGCTGGGATGAAAGCACATCTAATGGGCGAAAGTTAAAAGGCGAACGACCGGACCGAGTTGCGCTTCCACTTACGCGACAGCGCCAGCTCTTATTTGAACCTCGCATGTCCCCTGACATGGTCGAATCATGTCCCGAATCTACCATGATGGGCATGGTAGGTATGGACACGGTATGAGGGAGTATGCATGTGCGGATCTGAGGAATGTTGCACGTACTAGCGGAATGCATGTCAACGAGCAAGGGGGTAATGTCAAAACAAGTGCGTGCCCGTCTTGGGGATTGAAACCATGGGCACTGCGGCGTTTTGGAGGGAAGAGGCTCGAGACCGAGGATCCGAGTGTCGAGACGACGGCGCCCAGAGCAGGACCGAGTCTTCGGGGATCTAGTCAAAAGGAGGACATGCAATCGTCCGCGGCAAGTCTTCGAATGAGATCAAGTGAAGATGAGGTAATTTTTCCGCGTAGTGGACACAGTCAGGTTGGAAAGAATGCTCGTTGTTATGACACACGCATAAATACACTCAGAACTCCTTAATGAACACCGGACCCGCAGTAACCCATTTATTCACACTCTCACATTGCAGGAAGACGTAGTTGAAGCACCACAGAGTATTTGAAAACGTGAAAACCCACAGAAGAAGGAATAGTTATAAAGGATAATGGAAGGAAGTCCTCAAAGCGACTGAAGCCGCTCGACGGCCAGAGAAGACAAAGTTCAGACTCAGAACGAAGCAGCCGGACAAGAAAGAAAGAGAGCAAAAAACAATGGGATTCGTATATATGTCACGTCTGTTCTAGGCGTTCGCACGCATTCGATCGTCGCGCCCTGAAGCCACAGCAGAAGCTGGCTGATTGGTCGCGTCCCACGTCAGATACGTATGGTCTCCCAATTTTCTAGGACACAGACTGTGTTAGTCGCTATGGTCCAGATTCAACGACAAGGTGCTTAATGTGGCAGGCAAGCCGAGGGAGTGAAGATGCGGATCCCAAGTGAGATGACCTGCACACGAAATTGAACATACCGAGGACGAATCAAGTAGGCAACCGTAAATAAGGCTCCTAGAAGAACACAGACTCCGCCGACAACGACGTACGCAATACCCATGAAGGGGTTTTTACCGCCCATGACCGTGCGCGTGGAAATCAAGATTGACTTGGTTCCATCGTACTCGGTGACGGGGAATCCTGGAGGAACCAAAGTGTCAGTTTCATCATGGTCACTGCGTGTACAGCACAAGCACCAAGAAAACACAATTCACTGCAATGTCAAATGCTGGGCCTGTTGGAGCCTGAACATGACAAAATACTTACGATCAATGATATCCAGACGGTAATCGCCCGCCTCCATCGCGGTGGTGTCGTTTCTGCGAGACATTTTGCTAAAGTTGGGCAGCCCCGCTGTGCGCATCCAGACCATCAGGTCCTGATCCTCCTGCAAGTTGGGAATGCCAGTCTTCTCATAGGTGCCATTATACGAGCTCCAGTTGGGTGGTGGGACCACCTCCCCGGGCTTGTACTCGGTCTTCTTGACCAGCTCCTTGTCGCTGTTCCAGGCAATTCCCTGCTTCGTCATCACATAGGTGTGGTTGTTCTCCGCGAGACGCACCGGGGTGTTGATCGTGTCGTTAAACACCGAGTTGGCAATCAGACCGCAGGGATAGTACGGGATGCCCGCGGAGTTGACATCCAGCGGGGAACATGTGCCGCCCTTGATGGTGTCACTGGAGACCGCCTTCCCCTTTAATTGATCCAGATCGAGCGACTGCACATAGCGACGGTGGTTCTGGTAGAAGTTGGTGAGGCGGTAGTACATGTACACGGGAGGGCCCATCGCTTCCGGGATCGTAAAGAATAGAGAGCACATGGTGCCGTTCTCGGTTTGTGATCGTTGCCAGTAGTATTTGCTGTTGGCGGTTGAGCTTTTGAACGTGGCAGACACCTTGTCGGAGATGTCGGCTCGTGTTGTCACAGGTGCGTCTGTGCTACACCGTGAATAATCGATGACGATTTCCTGTATCTATAGAGGGAGATTGCCAGTTAGATCCGCCCTGCCATATCGCGTTCAGTCAGGCGAGGAGGCACCCGACCCCAATTGACGACGTACCTGGGAGTTGGCCCAGAGCAAAACTCCACCGATGGGCGCAAAGACGATGCCAACGATGAAGAAGAGTGGCAGGACACTCTTCGGTGTTAAGATCGGTCTATTCGGCACGGCATTCTGGTCAGTCTTGGGCAAGTCAGAGGGGGGGCCGCGGGTGACGCGGCATCCAGAGACGAAGCTTACTGCCATGCCTTCAGTCGTTGTTGTCGGAATGCCGTGTCTAGCGACGCCGTTCAGTCAGTCAACGAAAAGAGGAGGCCGGTTATCACGGAGATAGTGGGGGATAATTCGAGGTCTATACAAGTCGACCACTTGGGAAAGGTAGAAGAAGGGGGGATGTCAATGCGTACTGGCGGGCTTTCGTGATTTGGTTTTCTTGTCGCCTTCAGCGGCGCGGGCGCGCTCCTGCTCGTCGATGGACTCGGGACGGGGCTCCTCGGTCGGCGACATGGCGGAGAGGGGAGGGGAGCGGATCGCGCAAGGCAGACGAGAGACAGAGGCAGCGGAAAAGGTGTTTGCGACTGGAAGAGAAGGCTTGGATAGAAGGGCGGATGAGCGCGAGTGGTCAACTCGGTCGAAAAAGAGAACAGGCAACGAAGGAGACGTCAGCAAAAGGTGGCGCCGGGGCGGAGCCAGATCGTGTTCAGGTGGAGAGAAAAGAGCCACGAGGAACCAATGGCAGGGTCACGGCAGCTTCTCTCCACTCGGTCGCATTGTAAATCAACGTTGGAAACAGAGTTTGTGACTTTGACCTATCGTGCGGGACTTTGCATGGCCGATTTGGTGTAATCGATGTAAGGGAATCGTGGTCATTATTTATAGAAACATGGCTGTTTTGCTACTTGCGACGGCTTGAGGAAATGGATGCGCTGTCGATCACTGGAAGTTGCGACAGGGAACAAAACATGATTAGTCAGGATTTTAAGCTTGCCAGCCCAACCTCAAGAGTGAAGATGATGTGAGACACTACAAACGGTACGGTTACTGGAATGTTTCTTGACGTCTGTTATTCATCTACAGCGAAAGGGCAAGTCTTGCGCAATTGCAATTGATGTGTTATTCAAGATTATTGTATCTCAGTCGAGCAGGGTATCACACCATCCCCGTGCGCTCTCCTAGCCAGAGGAGCTGCGTCGAGCATGGGAAACAGACGTGGAGTGACCAGCAAACTTAGCACACATGACAGAAGAAGGGAACCGATTATTTCGGATCAACGAAATCCAAAGAGCCGGAGAGAGGGAGTGAGAAATGCAACATGTGATCATGACCAATTTGTGGAGGAAGAAGCAGGCATAGTGCGGACCGGAACGCCAGCCACAAGAGTAAATATCGTCGAGGAGTGGGGTATGAGAAAATGCAGCAAGACCATGATGGGAGTAGTGAGCAATAGCTCCCCAAGACGCATGAAGCAACGGCGTGGATCGGAAAGACAAAAAACAATGGAGCCATGTGCTCGAGGGGGTATCGGGAGAAGACAAAATCGAATCATCAAGGCGTGACAGGACATGAATGGGAGAGGTGGAGCAACAGGACGGAGATCCAAAAAAAGAAACAAAAGAGGCTACGCAGTTGTTGAAGGGGCGAGCGTGTCGACATGCAACACCAGATGGTGCAGGTCAGTGCCGTGTGCGCAGTTCCGAGAGTATGTGGATGTGAGGTATGGAAGTCACGTAGGACCACGCATCGAAAAGCGGAACATGAACTTGGGGCTCTCCGCCAATTGACACAAGTATGGCGAAGAAGTGACCAGACTTCGTGGACATTGAAATGTTGGAGATAGGTCTGTGATGAGTGCCGGATACAAGCAAGCGTTGGACGGATTCGGGATGTTGTGGACTTGGGAGTGATATGGACAAGCAGTGGTCGTCTCCTCGCAGCACTGACTGAGAACGATGAGTTTACTTCAAGTGGTTGAAGTACTCGGCCTTGAACCAGCCGACTCGGTCGTAGGCGGTCCACAATTTGCTCGCCTTGTTGACATCGATCTTGCAAGCCTGCTGCGCATCGGTCTTGCGGAACTCCTTGCCCACACGGAGGGCACGGACACGAGCCTCAAAGATGCGACGCTTGCTGCACAGGTAAGTTGCGCAAGACAAGCGAAGGGTGGAAGCCAGATTGAGCTCGGCCGGTCCGAGCAGGGGTCTGTCCGGGTCATTACTCAGATCCAACATCTGACCCTTCCAGTCTGCCTTGAGGGCCTTGGCATTGCCACCCAGGGTGGCCACAGGAGGCGAGAAGTCAGGCAGGGCATTGAAATCGGTGTCATCGCGATTGGTGCCGATGGCACGAGGCTTGCTCGCCGAGGAAGGAGAGGAGGAGGATGCCTCGAAATTGTCCATGGTCTGCTGCTTGGGGGTCGACTTGGGGGTGGACTTGGGGGTTCGCTTGGCGCGAGGACGAGGCGCACGAGGAGTCCCTCCAGTCACCTTCTTCGCGGGGGCCGGGGCGAGCTTCTTCAGCTTGACCTCGGTCTCACCCTCAGGACGGTGACGGTTCATCAGGACCAGTTGACGCTCTAGAGTCTCTCGCTCCTCGCGGGCCCATGCCAGAGGATTGCGATTGAAATGGGATGAGACGACGGGGACACATGACAGTGCCAGGAGATATTCCTCACGGGTGGGCTTGTTGAGCTTGTTCTCGAAACGCGCCATGTGGGAGTTGATATGCTGATCCACCAGCGCCTCCGCCGCGGGAGGGGCAATGGGTCCAAAGAGGGGAGGCTCCTCGCGAGCAATGGAGTCATGACGAGGGAAGAGGACTGGATCCCGCGATGCGTGGACCTCGACATCAACTTCAATCTGCTCAGCGGTCTCGGAGCGTCGCTTCTTGTTGGCACCAGTGTACGGGGTTACCGGAGGCGAGGGAAGATCCATCTCGGACTGAGTGCGCTTGCGGTCAGCAGAAATAGGAGGCAGCTTCATGCCATCGCTCATCGTGGGCATCATCGATGCGAATTCAGGCTTGTTGAATGGAGAAGTGGGGTGGAAGCTATCCATGGGCTTCGTCTCAGGGGGCGACATGAGACTGGATACGGGGAGGCGATGCATGGTGGAAGAGTAAGGAGGAGATTGCGTGGGGGGTTTGGGTTGATGGGAGAGTTGCGATTGCAGTGGTGAGCGTAGACCCGAAGTGGGAAACATTGCGAGCGTGTGAGTGAGATGGCAAAAATGTTTTGGTTCTGAGATGCGCGCCTCAGAGAAAACACACGGCGGGGATGGGGGAGCAAGCAATGCTGTCAAGTTCCACCGATGAGGAGGAGAACTCGTCTGGTGGACAATATCAATCTGCGCTTGGAAAGTGCTTGTGCCTTGATTGTCGGTACTGACTTCAGAACTTCTGGAGCAGGGGAGGTTGATTCACGCGTGTACAACTGGCGATTGAAGAATAGGTATGAGGGTGTTGGCAGGAGGAAGAGAGTTGTAGGAGGAGAAAACACCACCGGTGGTGAACCTGGTAGTAGTGGTGCCTGCGCCTGGGGAGCGCGTCCAGGCGAGAGTGGGCGTGAGAGACAGAAGCAGGAGGCAAATGATCACGGCACGAAATCTAGAACGGTAGAGAGACGATCCGAGCTTTGTTTGGTAAGAAAATTGGGGGTTTCGATTTGATGTAAGTTATTGAATTTGTCTCCTCTTTCTGTCTCGAATTATTTGATTGCTTTTCTTTTCCTGGACTTTCTCAATGGATCTGACCCGAATACGACGAGGGTGGAAGTCAATGGAAGTGCATGTCCAACACCCAAGTGATTTGTCAGGCAGCAGTGGCGATAAATCCGGGTTTAAGGCCGGGCTCAGAATGAGTCAAGACGAGTCAGCGACTAGCGGACCATAGGCAACGCTCGGGGGACGGATGGAGCCAAGGCCAGAATCGCCGAGGACAGTCAAAGATGGGGGGGGGGGGGGGGGGGTGAGCAAGGGGAGGCGAACAGGCAGGAGAATGACCAGTGCTTGTGGTCGGGATGGGATGGGAGCCTACTTAAACCTGTTGGGAGGAGGAGGAGGAAGCAGAAGAGGATGAGATGAAACGGGGACCGAGACGGCCGAGAGAAAGAGGCAACTGGGGACTGACTCAAAGAGGCGAAGTCGTGGATCAAGCGGGTATCGGGTGGGGGTGTGGGGCCACGGGATGGTGTAAGATTGCGGTCAGATGGTGTATGGTATTGATCCTCTGGTAAGATGGGTACCAATCAAACGGACCATTCCGATTAATACCGATTAATGGAAGAGGCGGTTTACCCCATCCGGTCAACTGCACTGCCTCCGTGGAACGGGCTCACAGCTGGAGTAGTGAGTCGCTGTATACCTAGACTATTAGATCGGTCATCGGACGACTCGTGCGAGAGATGAGGAACCATTTGAATTTACAAACGAGTGACAATGCGTATCACGATGAGCGTGTTGGATCGTTTCTGCCTAGAGGGAGACTTCCTCGAGTCCTCCTCTGCAATTAAGACTATAGAGCTTATCGAAAAGCGAGGTGTAATCCAAGGATTTGCTAAGACAGCAAGAGCGCAGTGACATCTTCAAGGTACTGCATGTATTCCTCTATTTTGCCAATTCCTATATTGTGATAGGGGGGCTGATAACAATAGGTCAGCAGACTGACTGCGAAGGTAATTGTGACCTCCAATCGCTTTGCAGTATTGAATACGACAAGACATTCATTGCGATTTGCTACACTGACAACTACAGTCCAATTAGTCAAATACAATCAATATCAGGTGACGTGCATCAATCTCCGAGTCTCCGACACCCTTCGTCTCCCGTCTTCACCTATGTAATCTATCATTATATCATTATCTATATAATACATAATTACATACTGATGCTGTGGTACTGTACCAAATTACCAATTCGAATCCATAATCCAATGAATTCATAGATCGGTCGGCGGGTACAGTCCCATCTCTGGTCAGGCGTCAATTGATCTTTGACCCACCAATCAGATGGGTCAATGCTTGTGCGCTTTCATGATTGTCTTCTGATCCAAGATGGACGGTGGAGAGAGGAACGGTCTAGATAGGATGCCACCGCAGGAATGGGGAATGCCGTCACTTGTTCCAAGCAGGATTCGGGTCAATGAATTGACCGATTCACTATTGTTCAGAGGAGAAATTGGAATGTCGGGCAATCGGTACAGTAGCAGTATCGAGACTACAATTACAGTGTGTAGTATGTACTGCTATGTGGTGATGTACAAGACTACAAGTCACTTGCCCGTCAATGCAGTGGTATACTGCTACGGCCGTGCTGTAGGACACCGGGAATGCCGATGATCGAACTATTGCAGTACTCAAGGTACATGGTACGTCGCCCCTTGTAGGCTTGTAGCCTTGTACCACTCCAGAGTCCAGATAGTGTTGCCCCCCTCGCTCTGGCATGGTCCACTCACACGCTCGGTCTTCCAGCTGATCGTGAATCCCGATCGACGCCTGACTACTTAGTACTCACCGTTTGATGAATGAATGAATGAATGTTGACATGTTCCTCAATCAAGACTTCGACCATTCGTTCGAGTCATAAGCACTCCATTGATCAATCAATTCCCCTCTTTTCTTTTACCTTCATCTACCAAAAATTGGCGTGACGTAGAATGCTACACCACCAGGGAATATACTATTACTTACATACCTATTCTTGCTACCAGTGAAGGTATCCATTGTCTAGCGGAGACCGTAAGTGCACTCGACCATACCCTCAATTACTTGGTTACAATCTCCGAAGTCCGGATCAACGGGGGATAAGACCCTCGGAAACCGTCGGTATGACTCAATCGCACTGCCCAACTGCGGTCTGTGAGTCAAGTCATCAGCTCCCTCTCGCCCTTTTCGTTTTCGAGAAGGAGGGGTACAGGGGGGCGGGCACGCAATCAGATTCTCGCAGTCCAATCAAGGAGATCAATTGGCACGAGATCACGGTCTCATTCGCCAATAGGACGGATGGTGGTGACAGAGAAGTTGAACAAATACATTGCAGGCAGAGCAAGGAATCGACGACCAGGAAATCAGGAGATGACTCGATGTGTGGGCGAGTCATGATGAAAGGACAGGAAACTTACCCTCGAAGAAGACTGTGACCGAAAAGTGCGGGGTGGGAATGGAGACCGCGAGGTCATCTGGCTGGCATTTTGGCTGCCTGAGCGGCAAAGAATGGAGGATGCGGCTGTTGGTGGTATGGTAAGGGGATTACATTGGTTATCAACGATACGGTTTGCAATCGAAGGACGGTATTGTTTTGTAAGATTGGCGAAGTTGGAGTTCACATGGCGAGTCGGCGTCGCGGCGACAGTATGAGCAAGTGACAGTACTTGGCTACTTACTCTTTCCACTGGACGGCCTCCGTGGGCGATCATCAAGTTGCAGATGATGATGGATCATGGATCTGCGCCCGCCCTGAAGATTGCAATCCTTCCCGGTCGAAACTTAGAATAATCAGCGCTATCGGGGAATTGGGTTTGCGGGCCCTGCTCCATTGAGGAATAGCATCACCCGGGGCACATGCAGATTGCAGAGTATGCGAATAATACTAATGCATGTGGAATTACTAGATTCAGCAGCGGGAGAGAGGTATCCGGATGCATTTTGCATGATAACCAAAAGAGTTCAGTATTCAGTCCTGCCTAGTCAGTCCACGTTTCATTTGACCCGAGACCGTGTCAATGCCATTGAGTCGAATGAGACTGGGCAATTGAGCAATGCACTGGGGTGCTCTTCGGTTCGGGTACTAATTTACTACTACATAGTAGTATTACATAACTACATACTAAGTTACTTACTAAATAGTAATACTACTGTGCCATTGAACATTTAACATGTAATCCTGTACAGTACCACGCAAGGACATGAGAACAATAGATTGCGAAGCTTGTGACTACTCTACCCCTCAACCCACCACTTCTATACGGACTATCCTCGGTCGGCTCGTGACCGGCGATAAATAGTCCCCGCCAAGGAAAAGACACCAAAGCCAAGCCAAGATGGATTGGAGAACGTGCATGACGGGGACGACGCCTCTTTTTGGATAACGACTTGGATCACCTACTGTATCGATCACCTCTCAATCAGGCATACCTTTCGATGACCTCAGTATGAGCCGTCAATTAATCACACAAGAATCAACTACTTCGTCAATTGAAGCTTCCAAAATTGTATCGCTTATCAATCTTAATATTGTACTACTCGACATCAACTGACCCGATCATTTCATCCTGCTGATCATCCTGATAAAGGACGAGAATGCACGTCTCCCAAAACAGTTTCAGACAGAGTCCTGTGTAGACTTACCAGTGGTCAGTGCCCGCGGGGAAATTGCATTGAAACCACAATTCGAGGTCCTTGCGTTCAGCTCTCCTCGACTTTCACGTAGTCGGTTGAAGTACTAAAAGGAGGATGTTTAGTGTGCACGGTGTAGTATCATAAATGTGTAGTATGTATAGTGTAGATGAATCGCAGCCCCTATTTATGAGTGGTATAAGTACTGAAAAAATTAGCGATCACTAATGCATATGCAGTACTCTAGATGGTGACCTTTCTTGACCGTGCTGTGCTAATGTACACTTATACAGTACTACAGTACACATCCTCAGGTTATCATTTCCGCCGAGGGCCCAAGCTACGGCCAGGGTTAGTGGCGTTGACTCCTCAGTCTGGTCGTGTGGTTCATCTGGATGATGTGAAGAAGGCCAGAGGAGCGCATGACAGCATCGCATGCACCAAACCGCACTCGGGCCCCTTGATGTCGGAGGTTTCGCCTTTCATGTTACTGGATTCGTAGAGGGGTTGATATTCGGTCTTGACGAATCACCATGCAATCTTGATGCACTGCACTTGTGGCGGGTGGGAGGACTGGTACCGTTGTCGAGTCGAGGCTGGAGAAGATGAAAGGCACAGTTTTGTATGGTCATTTGACATACTGTATATTCAATATTGTACATTAATCCTGTCGACACTGAGTAGAGAGTATCTAGTAACTGAACTGTCTTGCCTTCACTTTCAAGTATCCAGAAACTCCAAATTCCTTTCAAGGCTTCAAGCAGTGTTGCTTCATGTAAC